AATAACGAGTGTATCAGCAGTCACACAGAAGCGGCAGAAGACCTCAGGAGGCGCGAGGAGTTGATAGAAAAGTACAGACAATGTTTACACGAACAGAAAACCGTCAAAGATCTGAACCTTCAGCTCCAAACAAAGTTGGCTGAATACTTTAGACGTAAAAAAGTTGAGGCATCCGATCAACAGAATACACGACCAAGCATTAGCGGTATCGTGAGTGATTCGTCTATAGATTATGAGCAGAAATACATGAAGTATATCTCAAATATCTCTGACCTTCGTCACCAGTGTAAGGTAATGCAATCTTATTATACTGAGCAGATAAACGAGATGAAAATCTTATGCCAGAAAAGACAAGAAGAATTTGATAAGGCTTACCAGGAGTTTACGGAATTTAAATATAACGTAGGGAAGAAGGCGATAAATACTCGAACTGGGAAACCAATAAGCTCTAAAGAACTTTCTTCTATGTTTACGACCGAAAAAAATAAGGAAGCTGTGGTCAGAGAAGTTAGGCTAGAGAACATAAAGCTAAGAAATCAACTCTCAAAGGTTGAAGCTCTGCTAAAGTCCAAAGATGAGCTGTCAGAAGGCTTGCATTTAATTGATTTTGAGCAGTTAAAAATCGAGAATCAAACATTTAATCAGAAAATCGAGGAAAGAAATGAAGAGCTGAACAAATTAAAACGGAAAATTTCGAACACAGTTCAAATAATCACTCACATCAGAGAAAAACTTCAAGCTGTTCTTGACAGTAACGCCTGTCAGAAGAAAATACTTGATAGTATTGATATGGATTTGTCAGTAAACAAAGACCACCTAACGAAAATCAAAAGGGCTAGAGAACTTCTTAAAACTGAGAATGCCAAACTTCGCCGATCATGTGGACTTTTAGGAAGAAATGCTTTGTTACTAAACTACGAAGATTCATTTGACTCTGTAGTAAACAAAAGACAGTCTTTGGAAGAAATGAAACGTATTACTGCAAACTACCGACTTCAAACAAAGGCTTTGACTCAAAAAATCAAGAACCTGCAGAACAATAGGACAGCTTTTTGAACTTCATCATTTATTTCAAAGGGTTTAGTTTGGTCGTTTCTGATTTTTCATAAAATTTTAATGATAGAGTATGCTAAGTATTTAATTATTTATACAATACAATAAGTTTATGGGTCAGAGTAAAGAGCACTTTAAATTAGTATCCATTAAAATCTTAATAAATATTTACGAACATAGTCTGATAATTTTTTGATTTTTACATGTCACAAAACACGCAATCCTTCATATTAATACACTTTTCCGTTGGCATTGCTTAAAACCAAAAACAAATTAGCTTTTTTTGCGAAACGTCATGACTAAATATGACTTTACATTAGCCTAACTAGTTAAATTAATAATAAGCGTCAGATGAATTCGAGTGGTCTCCCGGTTTTAGGAGACATGCGTTCCTAATTGATTTAAAGAAGAGTAGCCGGCGAAAAATCTTTTAATACTTTCCATTTAGGTTGACATTTACTTTTATTCAAAACCCTATGTATTCGATTCGCTGTATTAGATTCCTCATCAAGCCTAAATGTTTTGCTGCACATCATTAATTTTTAATATCTCGAGGACAGCAAATATCTAAAAGGTTTTCAGCTTGAATGAAGAATGAGATAGTAAAGACAGTCTTTTTATGTACATTTTTGGATTTTTATTCAACTCTATGACGTTACTTGTATGTCTTTAAACTTAAGTACACTTTTAAGTTCAACGGGTGGAATTGTGGTAAGCTTTTGAGAGATACCCTAGTAAAATGATGGTTATTTTAGTGCTATTAAGTGTCTAAATGTAGCTATGCTCTAGTGTTGAACCTACCTTTTAAATTTTTGGATTGCCAGAATAGTATGAAACAAAAGTATGTAGGTTCTTGAGCCAGATAAAAATTATAATTACATATCACTCCAAATTACTTTGGCCTAATACGCCTTAATTAATAGTAAAATTACGATTACTAACCGCGATGTTGATTTAACGACTGATTTAGGGCCAAAACGCTGTTATATAATGAATATTTTAAGCTGCCTCATTACTATGCTCTTCAATAAATCTCATAATCTCTCTTTACTGTCAGTCTACTAAGCTGCCTTAAAGTCATCTTTTGTTTTTGTAATTAATGTTTCATTGACGTTTTTCTTAAGTAATTATATAACAAACTTCCAGTATAACCATTTGAAGTAAAGTCAACTGTTTATTGTTTTTTAGTGGATAAAACGATAAACCAATTCATAATAATTGAAATGAATAGATTTGCTATGCGCTTTTAGTATGGATTCGGACTTCTGATATTTGTAGTTTAAAACAATTGCCGAATATGTAGCTAAACGAGATAGAATGATTTAAGCAATGTATCTCTCAAAAGTCACCTATTTCCGCTTCACATTTGTCAAGAATGCTGTAGAATAAACAGAAGAGCCTATGGTTGTTTAGGTAACCTTGGTTTAACATAAGTGAGTCAACAAGTCGAACGTCATTAACGTAGAGCCTGGCACAAATCTGCATTGGTCAAGTTTCCAAACCATATTAACAGAAAGCGACAAATTACCAAACTGAATTATGTAGAAATACCGGGATTCAAGATCAAAAGGAAGATTAAGAGCAGAAACGTATATGCCATCATGAATGATTTTGAAACGTGTCGCCCAAAGTATCTGATCACTGATTGAAGTTATCGCACGGACCGCAACTAGATAGTCCGCATTTGTCAACATAACTCGTAACAAAACTCACTGACTTTATTGACTAGTGCCATGTCTTGGGTTTGCAGCCCTTATTTTGTTCCCAGCCTACCGTCACACTAGAAAAAAACGCGCGTTGAGTTAGAGGGTTGTATACATTCACTGTTTTTCCAATTCTCAGTTATAACAAAAATAAATTCAATGTAATGATGGTTCAACGATTCAGTTTCGAATTAGTAATTGTCATTGTATTCAGAAGAATGTCTTCAACCTTCTACATCATTGGAGAAAATCTTATAAACTTTTAACTGTATCAATAAATTTCAACCCCACAACGATGTCTCGTCCCAATTTTCCACATTGAATGTCTCTAAGTGATGAGTGGTTACTTGCTAACCGCATATTACTGACTTTTCGTCATCATTTATCTACAAATTTCTTCTTAAAGTGACATCAATCCATGAAATTATTGACCAGTTTGCTGAGTTGTGTTGACACATGTAGATTGTTTGGTTGGGGTTCGCATGATAACTCAAATCAGTTACTGTAAACGTTGGATGACAAAGCTTCAGATTATTATTATTGTTTAGATTTATTTACTCTTTATCTTTAGCTAGATTTTGAATTTCCTTATTTCTTGATACATACATATCTTCATTCCTTATTTCTAAAGCATTTCCCTAAATTTAGTATTTGTCACTATGAGTAATATAACTATTAGTTGAACTTTTTTATTACTTACCCCGTTAATTTAATCTTGTTAGATTAATGTGGTATAGTTACTTGTGAAATTCATAAATTCCTATAATTATATACAGAATAACTAATGGGCTAAAACAGAAACTCCAAAATAAATGAAAATTGTTTTATAAGAGAAAGTGGATAATTTTAACAAGACGGAATACGTGATAATGATTTTAATGTAGGTCATTTGGAATATGACAGCCATGCAAAATCTACCAATATCGGATTGGGTTAACTGTAAAACACACTGCGAAACAGACTGACATCAATCGAAGAACCAATAAAAGTCAGTGTAACATAAATTTATCACTGACGTCGAATGAGAACTGAACATTATCACAAAGTGACTGATCTCGGAAAATATAAACAACTGCATCACTAACTAGTATGAGAAGTGAACTCCAATGGTCAAATAAAATCGCAGGATAGACAGACTTCATCATCTATTGCGAAACATTTGATTGAGACGGGTCATAAGGTTGACGCCAAATCAGCATTTGTAGTGTTATACAAAAGCCTTCAAGGACGTATACTAAGGTTTATTGAAGCCTTGGCTATACGGAAATTGAAACCCCCTTTATGTGTTCAAAAACAATTTGTAGATGCATACTACTTGGTTGGGGTCCGCGTGACTTTCGTAACCAATGGTTGGAGAATCTTGGTGACATGGCTCAGAATCGATCAAAATGGCGTCGGTGTATACACTATCTTCCCTTAAACTAAGAGATTAAAATTGCTTCATATCTTTCTTTCTACGAACTAATTCTTTCTTCGTGTACTATATCCTTATTGCAATCTTCCTTTTATATATTACCACCTCTGAATTAACTACTTTTACGAATCCGGTGTCCATCTTGTTGTGTTAATGAGGTATGGCAACTTGGACCGATGCATAAATGTGCATGGTCCTACGTTGTCGTTGACTGATTGACTGACACTTAACCTACCCTGGTAATATCGACTTATTATCCAGAGTGGTAATCACTTTTGTTTTTGTGTACTTTATTATTTTTCCTTTGTTATGACTTACCCTTAACCTGTCTAGTTGACCTTTTACTTTTCATATATAATGTTCTTAACAAGTGTATGTGTGATCAGATTGTTCGAAATGTATTGCGCAAGTATATCACATAATTCTGATAAACTTCGTCTTCTCATTGCATTATCAAAATGTATCATTGTTAGCTAGGGGATTAAAGATGTTGAGTTTAATTCAATGTGGGGTTGTGGATTGTCAGCTGATCAGTAGTTGGCTCACATGATGATGAAGTTGATTGCTTTCTGCTTCATCATTTTCAATGTTTCACCCACTGATATCAGTTCGTGATGAAATCCACTTTCAAATTAAACCAATTCTTAGAATTCTCCTAGCCAAATTGCGAAACTTTTAAGCACAATTATCTTTACTGCGTTAATTTTAATTGTTGTATGCTGACTCGGTGTTTAATTTAGTCTTAATATTCCATATCAGATGTGATAGTTATACATTTTCAAACTCTATGTCCAGATCATTATACCTGTAAAGTGATTTTGTAGGTAAGTCTAAAGAACATGAATTATCTAATATTATTTCACGAACTAAACTTTGTGTTTATCATAACTAAATACAAATTATGCATAACCGTATAAATCTATGCACAATTCAATGTTTACAACCTTTCACAAATACAAATAACTACTCATGCTATAAGTACACAGTATTATGTTTAATGTTATTTAGACTTAAAGGTATGGGGGAAGAAGAAAATTTAGGAAAAATTAAAATAAAAGCCTAATGTTTTGTCTGTTAGCCTAAAAATAGTCATTAAAAAAATAAACATCACCATGCTCCAAAGTTCATGGTGTTATACAATAAGTTGTTACCGGTACAGAGGAAGGAATTTCTTCCGATGTAATGTGAGGCGGGCGTGTTTGGGAGGGAAGTAGTTGTGATGAAGGTGACTGTTGCTCAAAAAATTCATTTGGTTCTCTTAAGTGTGGATTAGATGGTCTTTCGAAGGGAATTGATTCTCCTCCACTCCATACAGATGATCGATTATCGGCATCTAAAAAGTTTGAGCTATAAGAATGATGTGAATATACTGACAACGATGGTATCAATCTAGACTGTGAGTTGACATCATATAATTTATGCCTTTCAGATAGGATCGGCATTTTGGGCGGGAATCGAAAGCTTTCCTCATGGTGGTTATCATTATTTTCATCATGACTGACGACATGTTCATGACGATATTGATGTGTATTCGTCATATCCATTGGTGATGTGCCATAATCCGACATTAATCGACGATTGCTATTACTATTACCACTACTGTTTGGTAAACTGATAGCAGCTGAGGCATACCATGGTTCTAATTGTGTTGATATTGTACTTATAGTTTGATTATGAATCTGAGATTTCCTTCGGTATTTAGGATGATTTTGAGGAATTAATATAGGAGACTGTGAATATTGTTGTACCGTATCGATGTTTATTCGTTTGAAAATTCCACTCGGTTTATAACCTGAAGGTGATGGGGATAGAGAATTGTCTAGATATTTACCGTAGTCATCATGATTATCTTTTGATTGCAGCAAATGACCAATGTCTGTACTATAAAATTGTGAAGCCGGATAGGAATTATGGTATTGCTGATGATGACGAAGTTGATAACCAATTGTATCATGATAATATTGAGTAGGTAAGTTAGAAACATTGTCTTCATAAAAATTCAGTGGGTTTGACGGTGTTATAACTCGACCTGAACGTGGATAACTCCAAAATCCATCGTTTCTCAACATACCATCTACTTTATTGGCCGCAGTTGTTGTTTCTCTTCTATTAAATGCTTCATCTTTTGAACGTGAATCAGGTATATAATTAAATCTACTATATGCGTTCGGTTTATCATTGTTGGACTTTTGCTGATAATCGATATTTGGCTCTAAATACGTAACACCATCTTGTGAAGCTACCGAATCGTAAACAATACTATTAGCTTTTCGGTACCCACAATTTAGTGAATTCTCATTTATAGATGATGTTACAATGTTTGGTATAGGCAAAGTTAGAATTGGCTGAGGTGGCGGTGAAAAGTTCAAATGATTAGGATGTAGGTTATTTATATCATCTTCAAGAACTAATCCACTTTTTAACTTACTGATACTGTTATTTTTATTATTACCATTAATATTTCTAGTCAAATATCGTTTGTGACATTCTCTATGGTAAATAATTATTCCCACACCAGCCACTAATATCCCGGCGACAAAACTCAGCAGACCAATTAAGATTATATGAAGAGTTGTGAATTTATTTTTTATCCTTTTTCTGTTCATATGACCAAACACTAAATTAAACAATGAAAGATTAAATGGAGCCAGTGTTATGACATTAATATTTGGCATGAAAGTTTATGTTATTGAAATTGTGTTACTTGATATTAATAAGTAGTAGGTTTACTTCGCTTAAATTTGTCTACCACCGATTTCAGCTACATTTCAGTAAGAAATTCTATCATAGCTGTTGAAAGTTACTCCTCCTGTAATTTGTGCAGCGTGATACGCCACATGTTTCTTGCATTTTTAATTGAATAACATTACAATAAAATCATACTTATCACTTCAACATAATATTCTATATCTCAAAAAGCCGAGACAGTTTATCGACCATTTTCGACCTCGAATGCATTTTTAATGCATTTAATCAGTTGGATCTGAAATCTGTAGCAATGAGTATTCAGAGTAGTGGACAAGAAATTGATAGGAAAATTATTCTTTTGATTTATATCGCTATTAAATCATACTTTTATCGACCAAAGAAGATTTTTGACATGAAAGTATTAAAAATAAATAATGCATTATTTTAAAACAATTGGTAGTTTTTAGGTGTATTTATCAAGGTTTGACTTGGCGATTTCAACTGAATTGAGCATCGGACAGGTTAATATGAACAAAAGTGATATATTTTTAATATCTTATTGGGTAAAAAAATAAAATTTCCTGACGTTTAGTGACTCAGTGTAAGTCACTTCATCAGAGAATGAATAAACAATTTAAATTAATTTCGATAATGATATTAGAAGACGAAGATTATCAGAACTGATAATCTTCGTCTTCTAATATCACTATCAAAATTTATCAAAGGCACTAATTGTTTTAAATTTAAATTAACCCGACTTTAAATAGGACAGAGGAACAAAGCGAAAATGTTTAGTACTATCAATCAAGAAACAGGTCTGACCATGTCAATGTCATGTTACTCTGGTCAAGGTAATTTATGTGAGATATGTTTGTGTATTTGTGTGTGTTAACAGATGAAAAGTGTGACATCTATACAACTTGAACCATCTGTCAGAGCTATCATGTCTGATTCTCATACTGCTGCTGTACATACAAATTCCATTCCATTCCATCCCATTACAAGTGTCACTGATATAATTTGTACAAGCGGTATGGTACTGTTTGAGCTCTCAAACAGAAAAAATGGCTCAGTCATGAGATCATACTCGAGGTCTTGTCGGAAATTCAGGTAACCCGAATAATTTATACATAGTCTGTTTATCAAACACACAACCAGACATAAATAATTAAACTTCACATAAATCCCTGACAAATTTAATCACCCCGACCTTAGTCGTTTATCTTTACTCAGCTGTTAACCAATTAAAGTCCTAATTTATTTGTAATTATCATTGTTACCTTTTAATTACTTACTTTTATTGCAACTTGGAGTACTGTTAGGGATGTGTTTTGACTTAATAAATTGACTGCCGATATCTGTTTCCTATTCCCATGATAATTACATCTAATCATATTTCGTAAACTGATTGTCTTGTAAAGACCTTAAGAAAGCGACCTTGACGATGGAGATTGATGAACAAATGGGACAATGGCCTAAGATCGAAACTTGATGATATTCCCAGGAAATTCACGGGGCGTTGAAGGGTGTTTAGAGATATAAAGCACTGGAGATAACAGCCATTCTTTAATAGATCTGTTGTTTAAGTGAGAACTATCCACGACGACCGTTGATCTGTCTTGTCTACAAAAACTTTGTGTGAGGCCCCTTACGCTGATCGGATGGTTTCTGATGATCTGAACTTCGGGAAATCTTCTTTGCAAACAGTTCTAGCAAAATATGAAGCGCCTAATTTCTGGGGACTAGCTTGGGTTTTTTGAACAGCACAAACAGGAATGGGACAAGTGCATTAGCAAAACTGGAAATCATTTTAAAGATCATATTGAGCTACCTTGAATTTTGTAAAACAAATTTTTACGATCTCAGTTGACGTAGTTGTTGGACAGAGTAGCAATAATTCGAAGTCTTTTTCAAGGTTCTACAAACCTACCAATCTGTTTTTAGTCTACATTGTTAGCTTGGACACTTTCACATCTGTATAAAACTCCAGTATCGATGAAAAGCAGTGAGTAAAACTTCATTTACTGAAGCTATAAATATGTTGCAGTTAAGTCTATCAACTATCACTGTTACAAGGAGAATCGAAGAAATTAATAAGGATAATGATTGCTCTAGTCATAACATAGAATAAGCATACCTCCTGCAATATTCAGTGCCATATTAGGACAAGTTTTCATTTGATTCCATGAACCAGAACAAACTGTTCTGTGACTATCCACTGCATATAATTCACTATTGTCAATATTAATTAACTGACATTCTCTTCTTCGGACAGCAAGTAGGTGTGGATTTGTTGGGTCCAATGAATTTTCGGAAAATTGAAGTTCATTTCCACTAGTTTGTGTTTGTATCAATCCACATGATGACCAAGTGGACCAACTACTCCAAACTGAAGTTTTATGATAATTTGTGGTTATATCAATTGGAATATCGGAATATATGTCGGTTAAATTAACTGGAAATTAAGATGAGATCGATTATGATATGCATTAAAGTATATATTAATCTAAACGGTATTCTTTGAAAAATATGGTTGAAAAAAGCTGACCTTAAACAGTGTAAACTATACTGAACGTGGTTAGACAGTTAATTTTTTAAAAATCCTTAACTAACTATAATGTCTTGTATAATGAGTAGGATTAATTCTTGTTGAAAAGGGAATTAGAGCATTTCATAATGCTATCTTTTGTCAACATTTCATAGAAATGCTCTATGTTCACTTCGAAGTTGAAGCCTTACCCTAAGGCAGAGGTATTATCCTAAAGAGGCTTATGTTGTTGAAAGTTGATCAGAAAAAAGTGTAGTATGTACGAGTAATATTCAACCACATTCCTATTACTCTCACAAATGCTACCAATATTCCTCAGGCCGGACTAAATAGAGAATAAGCCTATCGAAAATCTCTGATGAATACTGGCTTTTTGGGGTTATGTGAATTCTATTTACGGTACTAGCAACGAAGGAAAAGTTTAGTGAATATAATTGGGATCTATTTAGTTAGAAAATATTTTACACCTTCGAAATTGAGTCAGAGCAGACTTTAAAGTAATATTCATGACTAGTTTCCGTTAACAGATATCCATACACAATTATAAGTGAAATAGAACCATTCGAAGGGATCACCTAACCATGTAATAAAAGTAACTGTCAGTCCATTGACAAAAGTTATCACTTGGAGTATTTTTAGGAATCATCTGTTACGAAAAGATCATGAAACTGATATTTATAATCTTCATCTAATTAGTACTTTAGTCACTGCGAATTGCTGAATTACTTTGCTCATTATTATTGTAACCCTTGATTTATGCTGCAAAATATACAAATCGCATTTCTTTTTTTAGATTCTTCACACAAAAATACATAATTTTGTTGATTAAATAAACAAGACGCTCTTCTTACTTACACTCAGAACACTCTGTTTGATCACCACCAAACCAAATACATTGCTTTTTCATTTGTTCATATCCACTACAAATTACTTTCTGTTTCTCCGGATTTTGATCATATGGTGTTAGTATACAAGTTCGTGTACGTGTTGATTTCCCATCATCACGCCAATTACATGGAGACTTGAGGCTCCTTTTATGATGTTTCATCGAGAAACAATCTGACCAATCAGACCAGCATGACCAACCACTTTTACATGCTGGTTTGGAAGGACATCTGCGTAAATCAATAACAGCATCTAAACGATTATTTTGTGAACACGCACTAGATAAGCATTTACGTGTACGAATTTGATATTGATTCGAGGTATAAAGGATGGTACTGGAAAATTTTGTCTGTTGTTTATCTAGTTGATCAGCTGGCGAAATACTTTCTAACGGAATACAATTTTGATTACATTCAGACCATTCGCTCCATGGTGACCAGACTGAGTTAGAAGATCTTTCAGTTGTTTCAGAAACAATTCTATTTTCTTCATCAGTTTGACTGTTTATTATGTCTGTAAAATAACATAAGAGACAGTTGTAAAATAATTCTGGTTTTTACTGACTGGTCAATATAACTTAAAATTAAGTGTAATTAAGCTTTCAGACGAGTTCATGGGCTGGGTAATATTCATTTATCTAGCTTACTGATTTCATTTTCAAATTATATAACCCAGAAGTAATCAGTGGCTTGATGGATTGATTGACTAAGTATTGGTTTATCTAGACAAAACGTCCATTATCTTACTTCCACCGTAACCATAGCAGTAAACAGGTTTGACAGGTAAACAAAATATTCTAGTCACTTCAGTCATTGAAGATTCACAACTCAGCTATTTGAAAAAAAGTAGACGAACATTGAAATGATCTTCGATTTTTTACGTTAATGGTGATGTTAAAACTTGTGTTCATTTTAAATAACTTCCAAACAGTAGATAATAGTTTATGATGAAGAAATAAAGAAATGGAGATGAGTGTATACAAAGCGATATACAACATTCATTGATTATCCTTTTTAAAGCAGAATAGGTCACGAAATAAATGTGTTTACGCAACTAATCTGACAAACATTCCCAAGGAGGTAACTTATTACGAAATACTTGTAAAAGAGATATCTGTAGAATTTGGTAGCTCTTACCACAAAAATCAATACCAAAGTCACCAAGTTCAAAAATCAGATATCCCCAACAATGATAAATTCATTGTATCACAATTCAGTTCGATAGTGAGCAAAATAATTGGAACTGATTCTCACAGAAATGACAACTCATACCTTAAAAGATAGATTTCAATCCTCTGAAGAAACTGATCATGTGGATATATCAGGTAAATTTATGATATCGTTCGATGTTTGTTCATTATGTAAAACCATGCCAACATAAGAGACTATAAGTACTATTGCTAGTATTCCGAATTCATTCCTTTGTTCCAAAAGGAGTTGAGAGATTTACTACTACTATGAACAAATGAGGTTCAAATCAATTACATAAACAAATTGGTGGAGCGTCCATGAGATCACCACTAGGACCTATTTCGGCTGACATCATTATGGTTAACGTTGAATGGATGAAACTCAAACATGAAACTAATGACATAATACTCTACAGAATGTACGTTAACGATAGAGTAATACTCAAACTACTATAATGTCTTTCGCTCCGTTGATTACAAACGTTGTTTAGTTGAAGCCTTATTTAATAGAGTTAGATGGTTGTGTTCAACCGATAAAATAGTGGAAGAAATAGCACACATTGAAGTGTCTTATAAAAAATGGATATCCTAAGAAATCGATTATGGAGAAGAAAATAATGATTATGAAAGTTCGGAAAAATAACTGTTACTAAAAAATCTGTCTTCATCCATTTTAGATTCAGAGGAGAGGAGATTTCAGATGAAATTCGTAAAGCGATCAAATCAACACTGAAAGGACGTTTTCCCGTAGCTCAACTATTTTCAGTATGATAACGCCAAATATTTCTTTAAAAAATCAAAGTAGATAATATCTTTTGAGGTCATCCAAGATGACAATCAAGAGCTTTAAATAAAATTGTCCTGCTCATCACAAAAACTTTCAGTATGTTTCATGAATAAAATAAAGTTTTTAGAACGAAATGTTTAACTTGGCGGACTTTTAATCAAATGATTTAAAATAAATTACTTTTTACGTCCATTCATATGAAACACTACCATGTTTTACTAAGTTCTCATATTCATACTGAAATTAAACAGGTTCACTTGTTGTAGGTTGCCTAAATTTAAGATAATGAATATTTTCATCATCCAAATCAGAATACATCTATCAAGTTAATAGATTACAATTAAAATACGTCTAATGAAAGATGATTAGTGTTCAACTTGAGCGGATAAGGTCTTCTAATAAACGGTAGAATGTTTAGTAATTCTTCGTGTGGCCCTTCTACAGTTACCGACGGTCCCAAGACTTGGTAAAGGAACAGGGTTGTTATTGAGGTCAGCAACATCATATCTAGAAAACAATCCTGCCAAAACGTAGCTAAACAGAATAAACAAATTAAACCATTTAAACTCTGTCCTCCGAGTTCAAAGATCGTCATTCAGAACTATTATGATAACTCATGTTGAAAGACGAGATTCGTCGAAAGCCACGAGACCAATGCCCTTCTAATAACTGGAACAACACTTAATATAGGTGCATGAGATGTTCGGGCAATGTGGGAGATCGAAAGGACCAGTCAAATTGCCGTGGAAATGAGGAGATACAACTTGTCTGTTCTTGGAATCACTGGAACGCATTGAACTCAATGTGGACAGAAAAGGTTAGATACGGGAGAGATGGTGTTGTACTGTGGTCATGGAGAAGAAAACTCTCCACACACTCGGAGAGTTGCTCTAATGCTGTCCAAAGACCACGTAGAGCACTTATTGGATGGGAATCTCATACGTTTAGGAACATCCAAGCATCAGTCAAAACAAGCAAGGAGGGAATCACAATGAATGTTATCCAGTGCTATGCGTCCATCAATGATGGCAATGAAGATGATAAAGATCAGTTCTATGAGGGGCTACATTCGGTCATAACTAAGTGTCCAGGAAAAGAACCTGACCATCCTGATCGGAGACCTAAACACCAAAGTCAAAACGGACTACTCAGAGAGTATGAAGATATTATGAGACGACATGGACTGACTGGGAGAAAAGAATAAGAATAGTGTGAGATTTGCAAGTTCATGTGCATTTAACAAAATGTTTATAGGAGGCACTATTTTCCCCCACAAACGCATACACAAAGCTACATGGGTCTACTCGAAGACGAGAAAACCACAATGAAGGACAAATGGAAAAAGATGAAACAAGCATTAACTTCGACATGTCAGGAAGTTGTGGGTCGCAAAAAGCACCATCATAAAGAATGAATCTCTACGGAAAAGCTGGAAAAAAATTGAAGAAATTAAGAACAAGAATAAATCAATTTACAACAGCCGAATAAGAAAAGAGTAAATCAGGGCACAAGCTGAATATACTGAAGCAAATAATCAAGTGAAGAGGAACATTAGAGCTGACAAGCAGAAAATGTGAAGAACCTAATAATGATAGCAGAAATAGCTGTAAGCGAGAGAAATATCAGACAACTATATGATACGACGAAGAAACTAGCAGGGAAATGCAGTAAATCAGTGAGATAGGTCAAGGACAAAGAGTGCCAGACGATCACTGAGATTCAGAAATAGAGGAACAGATGGAAATAGCACGCTGAAGAACTCTGGATTAGACCAGCCCCACTGAATCCACCAGACATCGAAGCAGCACACAAAGACTTTCCTATAGATATCACTCCACCAGCGGTTGAAGAAATCAGGATGGTCATCATACAAATCATGAGTGGGAGAGCAGGGACATCAGACAACATATCAGCTGGAACACTGAAGCCAGAAATAGAAGTAAATGCAAACATGCTCCACTTCCTAATCAATCAGAATTGAGAGGAAGAACAAGTGCCACCAACACACTGGAAGGAAGGGCACCTCATAAAAATACCAAAAAATGAGGTCTAAGAATTGTGAAAACTACAGAGGAATCACATTATCATCACACTACTATCAATATCGGGAAAAGTTTTCAACACAGTGTTGCTGAACCGGATGAAAGATTCAGTATACACCTAGCTTCGATATCAACAGATAGGATTTCGTAAGGATCGGTTGTGCGCAGGTCAAATCACGACAATACAGATAATTGTTGAACAATCAATTGAATGGAATTCGTCACTATAGACCAACTTCCTTGATTATGCGAAAGCATTTGACACTGTGAATAGGAGAACATTATGGAACCTCCTTCGACACTCTGGTGTATCTGAGAAGATTCTCAACATCATATGGAATTCATACGACGAACTACAGTGAAAAATCGTCCATAAAGGACAGATGGCAAACTCATTCCAAGTGAGGACCGGAGTCGTACAAGGTTGCTTACTCTCCTCCATTCTCTTACTTCTGGTGATTCAACAGATTATGGAGACCTCAATATATGAGGGGGAGCACAGAATACTAACAAAAAATTGCATGCAACTAGATGATTTAGACTTCACAGATGACCTGGTCCTTCTATCCCATATACACCAACAAAGTCAGGTCAAGACAACTAGTGTAGCAGCAGTCTCTGTGTCAGTAAACCTCAACATACACAAAGGAAGAAGCAAAATCCTCAAATATAAGACAGAGAATATCAACCAACTCAATCGCACTTGATGGAAAAACTCTGGGAGTGGTGAGAACGTTCACGTAACTTGATAGCATCATCGATGAACAAGATGTTAGGGTAAGGATTAGCAAAACAAGGTCAGCATTCCTACAACCCAACAACATGTGAAACTCAAAACAAATGTCAACCAATATAAAAGTCAGAATCTTCAATACGAACGTCAAGACGGTTCTACTGTACTGGGCTGAAACTCGAAAACTACTACAACTACCATCGAAAATGTACAAGTATTTCCAAACAGTTGTCGACGCAAGATACTCAATGTTCGTTGACCGGATACCATCAGCAACAGTTTACTGTAGGAGAGAACAAACCAACTTCCAGCTGAAGAGGAAAGTAGGAGAGGATACTAGATGTGGATGAGACATACATTACGGGAATCATGAAACTGCATCACGAGACAATCTCTAACGGAAAAGAGGGAGGCCAAGGAACACATTGTGTCGGAAATTGGAAGCAGACATGGAGAGGATGAATAGCAACTGCGAAGAACTGGAAAGTATTTCGCAGAATGAAATGGAAAGTGCTGGTGTGCAGCCTATGCTTTTTCACGAAAGGTAAAAGGCGTAAGAGCGTAAGAATGTTTCCCCTGATGTCATGTTCAATTATATGCTCCATTCTCATTACAATAACATTCCACTCCCACACTAGACGTAATTACAGCAATGAATTAATAGTACGATAATTTTTGTTAGATTATGTCGTGTAAAAAGGAATCTAAATACACATATACGCACATAAAAACCACACTTACTTGATACACTAGAACACTTTTGATCAATACTGAAACATTTTCTTTCAACGATTTGTGTTCTAACTATTTGTAAATCATTAGCTTTTTCAAATGGTACACTACATGAATGACGAAGACGTTGTTCATAATATACTTGTGAATTTAATTGACCAGGTATTGTTGTATACTTTAATATACGTGGATTATTAGGCAATACTTTTAACCAAGGTGTCCATTCTGAGTGAACAATTTCTTCTGTATAATTAAAAATATGTATATAGTGATGATGTCGATGATGATGGGATAGAAAAATATTACAGGGTTCTCATTGATGGATCTTGTCCAGCTATATAGATTAGCGTAACCACTCATTCACTACATCGACATAGATACGTCAGTCAATAACTACAATTGACTTTATATACATGTTCGTAAGATGAATATTATTTAATTACAGATCTCTTCATCGAACGATTAGCTGTGTAAGATAAACTAAGATACGCTCTATCCAGAATACATTTACAAAATTTGAGGAGTAACGGTGAGAGTAAATTCTCCCTTTATCTGGTTCTAATTATGGTAGTTTTTGAAATCAAGCAGTTTATTCATTGATTTTAGTATACAGGTTGATCATTGTTAGTTATAATATCCAATGTAATTAATCTTATGTTAAATCCATTCTGGATAAGCCATACACTTTTAATAGAACAAGACAATGGGCAGGGGGACATATAAATAGCCTTAAATCGTCTATTTGCTTCTTTTGGTATCTTTTGCTATCTGGTCCGCCTACTCGTCTGGTCTCCAAGTGTTCTATCAACACCATGCCTTCAATCCAAGGAAACTCTTCGCTCCATCTGATAACTGTGCAAATTCGACGCCACGTTCCACTACACACTACTTACAAACAATCTTCTAAGTAGCGTCCACTACACTGTGTAAAATGACCTGTGTCTGAGATTCTAGCATTGCGCTCATCTACTTAAATGTCTAAAATTATTCTAATATAACGAAATGCTCTTGTTATGAAATATTTATAGTACATTTCATGTAAAAAAGATTTGATTATACTAGTCAGATAGATGACTAACTACAATATGTTGTTGAGATTTTGAATAAATCCTCTGAATCTCCTACTTTTTTCCTCATATGATTTTCAGTATTGTTAAAACGTTACTTATATTCCTCTTAATATGATGAATGTCAATAAGTAAATTTAAAAAGCCAGGTAGGTATCGTCAGTAAAAATGATTCTCGTATGAAAAAAAATTCCCTGATAAATTTATGATTATTATTATAATACAAATTTCTTTGTTGAATGCCAGCTGTGCTTTTAAAGTTAATCGACTAGTATCAAAATAATTAAGCTCTGATAATACTATTGGATCATTAACTCACTAAACAGTATGTAGTGTCGGTTATTATGTTAAGCTCATATACCTTATTCTAGGTTTCGGACAGACCATTTCATTCATTCTACTTGAGTTACATTCTGACCTTGTTATTTATTCGCTTATCAATCTTGACTGTTTTTATATGAACGCGTAGGTGTGTGTACATTTCTTATCCCACTACTTATCACATGTCTGTAACTTACTTTTGTGTAACTATAAATATTGATCAACACTTGGTTAAATGGGAGATGGCTTACCTGTCATCACTCTGCGTCGTTCCTCTTCTCTCTATTCCATTCGCTTTATATAAGAAATATATGTAATCACAAGTCCATTCTCGTTATTTGATTTATCGAAACCCGTTATTGACTAACACGATTTAAGTCAATGATAATATACGAGAATAGGCGATAACAAACATTCATACGATCTAATTGCAGTCAAATCAACGGGCCACTAAAAGTAGTTCTCATGTTGATTTAATGTTAAATTGAACATTCGTTGAAATATTAATCTTGAAAGTATAATTTATTATTATATCCCAAAATATCTACTCTTTAACGATTGAAGATCATTTTCACAAGTAAAATATGAATATAGTCTTTATTTATTTAATGTATAACATTGTTCAATCTTTCACTGCATTAACAATCTTAAAATAAGATAGAACTAATTCTCTATGAATCTCATATATCTTAGAATAATTATTTGACAAATAATATTCAATATTAAATTTATTAAATCAATGACACTATGGAGCTCCTCTCATTGATTAAATTTTCACTTCTCTGTGAGGCTATAATTTATGGATGAACTAACCAGGTATATGATAACAAGTTTCGAATTTTGGCGCGAAACTCACTCACGGATTTGGCTAAATAAAGTTTTGGCATTTTAACTGATCTCAGTTCGTGATGAAAAACCCTAAATCTAATTTCTAACTTTAGTCATCAACTGTAAATCATAATTCTAATTCCTCACACAGGTTTATAACCATCGTTTAGTCCTAGTTATTAGGTGGGTGCTCTCGAGGTCAGTTTAGCGTCGCTCAAAGGTCATCCATAAATTATAGTCTCACCAGAATAATCTTTAAAAAAAATTATTAATTCACTTTAATTGTATAAAACTACTTACGTTGACATGTGAAATTCTCACAAATCCTTGTATCAATTGTTTCAGAATTCACAATAGAACATTGTGAAGTATCACTTTGATCCCATTTGTTGATAATTGTTGAACAAATTAAATTACGTGTTTTTATACCAATCCCACATTTAGTAGAACAATCCTTCCAATCATTCCATTTTAGAAAAGTTTCACCTAAATGATATGTTTGCTCTTTAGAGAGGATTGGTGAAGAAACTTCTATATGATTTATTATTGTTATTAATTATGGAATAAATGTTAATTTGGATACAAAAAGAAAGAAAGACGAAAATATCAATCAATCACCTTTTGAAAGGAATACAAAATATTATTTATCATGAATCGTTATTTTTGAACTGATATTGAGAATGAAGTGGTTATGTGGATGTATCTTCATATCACTTTGAACACTTTTCGTTAGCATTTATTGTTAACTGCACTTAGACTAAACTTCTCAGTTTAGGTAATAAAAAAAACTTGATACTTTAATGATAGTAACTTTGTGACCTTGTATTTCATTCAGATCAATTTGTCTGTTCTCTAATAAGTCATACTGTTTAGGTTAAATATTTCATAAATATTTTTATATTTTAGATGCTTTTTATACCCGTATTTATGAATAATTTTGAAATGCTACTCACCCCTCCTTTCATAAAAGCAGTAAAATATACGTTACAGATGTATACCACTCTTTACAGAACCATCCTACTGAATGGTGATGGTAATGTTCTTATTGATAGTCAGCTTGAAAATGAAGTTGCCTGAGTAACTAATGAAAAACTGTAATCTCAGAGTTAACCAGATTGGGAGCAATATATTAACTCAATAGTGGCATAACACGAAAATGTCACTATATAACAAATAGACTGAATTCGGTAGTTTTAATGTCTTTGATTACGACCAAGCCCCTTAAATTTATCGTTCTAGTAGCAGTGTCTGAAGTTCCTGGGTTCACCCTTGTACTAGATCGTGGTTCACGTTCCTGGAGAGTTCCAAACTATGATATAAAACCCTTCCAATAGTTAATAGTTCTTGGTGATTTTTCAGATTACCTCAAACTATGAAACAACCTAGTTTTTTACTCATAAAATTGTGAATCAATACTATTTTCATATGGTGGACGCTTTTGGTGTCATTTAGCTCTCATAATTAAATGATTTAATTGGGAAATTTTTATTATCATTCTGTACAACATTATCAGCTTCTACTTCATGTAGAAGTGAAATTTTCAGTTATTTCACAAGTGTTCATCATTTTGGGCTTTTTGGTGATTAGTTGTCTGCATTTGTCTTTCTATTCTTGTTGGTTGTCTTTTCCAATTAATTCTTGAAAATGTGTTATTAGTTGGACCTCTAATTACATGAATTAGACTATGGTATGGTTCAGAATGACAAAGAAAGTGAAACAACTAAATCATCTACCTCAGATAATTAAATAATACCAAAAACATTATCATCAATTATTCTCATATTCTCGACTTTCGCAGATCATCGACTAGCTAATGACATGATTAGATAAATGAAATATTTGACTTGATTCTAGTGAAAAAAACACTATATGTACTAATTTATTCGAGATGAGGTAAAGCAATTCTTCTCCAGTAAACATGAATTTTTAGGAATAGTTTAAGAGTTTGACAAAAAAGTATCAAATATCTATGATTTTCTAAACAAAGTATTTGATAATAACCTATGACTGAAAACGAGACAATCTTCAGTATAATAGAATTTTATTATGTTGCTATGATGCTATTTTAAAGTATCATCAAATCCAATACATAGATATTAGATCAATCATTAGAACACATCATAAGTGTGCACTTATTAAGCGTATATATGCTATGTTTGAAGCGATTACGGGTTCACCTAATCTGAGAACGGAATGAAGATCCTGTGACACAATAACAGAAAAGCTTACTATTGTGACGCGTCCTAGCCCGCTAACTAGAGAGATAAGTCCAAGCTTGGTATGAGAAGTGTATTCCACAAGCGGCCAGAAGCACGAATGACCACGACAAATCTAGTCGGAAATACACTCATTTATATATTGATTCATACACTCATTTTTTGATTAATAATTAGGATGAAATCACATATATGAAAAGTACTTAGTTATAACAAATTACATGATAAGCATAGTTCATGTTAACTTAATACAAAAATATCGTATGTTATACAGAATAAAATATCATAGGGGAAAGCGAAACAAATACTATACTGAGTAATCATCATATTGAATTAAAACGGAATTAATGTTGAACAAAAGTCATAATTTCAATAGTTGGGATCATGAGTTAATTGAAGCTAGATCACCATGGAAAACCTGGAAGCACTGAATGGCCGTCTCGTCCTATTGTGGGACTCCTCAACAGTGCACAATCTCCACAAAACCCCTTCTGATACTAAAAGTGATAATGACTTTTCATCCGGTCCTAACAATATAGTTATGTGAATTAGTAGTGATAAAAATCATGTTCTAATAAGTTATAATTGGCTTGAAACATTAATTTAGAATTATGGAAAAAAGAAAACAATTGTTACTGGAGATCTTGATCAGCTTGAAATTTTCAAAAAAAAATTAAAACATGTTGTACTTTAGGATATATCCGTCCTTGTAATATTCCTTTATAGAATATGGCTGAACAGATCAAACTTTAAAGGTTCACTATTAAAACAGACTTTTAAGGTTCAATTTTTGTAATGGTTAAATTATTTACTTTTAAGGAATATTGGAACAAAACATCTTTCCAGCTTTGGATTGTCACATGTTTATTGTGTTTTTCTGTTGAAAATTACTTTTAGTTGTAAAGGGGATCCTTAGTCTAGAACAATGTAATTGGAACAATTGTGTATCCGGTTGTTATAGCATTGTTTTGAAGAGCAATTAAGATAGGATAATCGACTGTGTTTTGTATCAATGAACCATAAATTATGAGATCACTAATTTGCATAAGGTATATTTAATTCAAATAACATAAGATTACCTAAAATAGTTCTGGCAAGAATTGAAAGCAATTATCCCTGAAAACAGATAGGGAGAAAGTACAAAGATATGTCTAGCTAACGAGTGTCTTGTGATAAATTTCTGTTACTTCCAGAAGCCAAAGGTTTTTATCACTTTTTACGACGGGTAAGGTCAAAATTATAGTGTTACTAATTTTAAAACTGTTCCTCAAAGTCTCTATAGTTTTAAGATTATATGTAGCCTACTAAATTAGCTTTTAACTGTCCCAAAGTCCAATATTCTCAGAGCAGTCAGGGGTTAAAATCTGACTTTGTAGTCAGTAATACTATGGTGCGTGCTACTTATATTGATATAAGTAGTATCTGACACGAGTCAGGAATGTAATGTCTGGCGGCAGAAGATGGGGAAGATCAATAAGGGAAGAGCGGGACTAGAAAGCAATTAGTATGGAAATGCAAGAACAACGAAGTTCGAGACAATTATTGAACATTTTGCAAATTAAGTATTATAGTATGGTTTTTCTATTTTACCAAGTGACTGTAATTTTGTGCTAAATATAATTCGGTTGTCCTCATCTGTGTTCTCCTTGACTACAATACTAGCATCCACTGCTCATACATACAAAATTCAAATAAAATATAAAACTGTTCTACATAAGACAAGATAAATATTCACTTACAAAAAATCTACTTACTATGATTGCAAACTTTATTAGTCTGTTGACAATGCTCAAGTTGCAATTCAACTTCAGGTGGATAAGAATTTTCATCGACTGGAATGTCGTAACTATGTTTACATCCAATCAGTTTCTTAGTATTTTGATTTTTAATCTTCATTTCTACAGGTTGTGGACTATCACACCGTCGCATACGTGTGCGTATCCCATGACCACAGTCTGATGAACAAGAAGACCATGGTGACCAGAATGACCATGATGGTTGAACTATAAGAAGAAATGAGACACAAAGATTGCAAAAACCAATTAAACAATCAACTAAAGCGTACACGATTTATTTGTTCTAGGAAATGATCTTAACAGACATGATTTACTTCCTTGCACTTTTTTTTACATCATAAAGAATAGAACATCCAACATTTTCGGGACAAAATTATTTTCATCACTATTATAAGTGATAAGTTTCAGCTACACATTGTTTTATAATCTGCCACAGGAACAAGCATTACATTTGATTATTTTGAAGTCTACAGTAGTTCAACTATTCTATAAAGACGGACATATATATGTATATAATTTTTCAATACGCGTTCTATTTAAAGCAACTCAGTATAATTATTAAGTCTAATCACAAACAGGCGAAAATACATCTGAAGTTCTATGATATGGCACCTAGTCAACATCATCATTTACAATCCTACGTGAGATGAATAAAAATATATTAGTGGTGATACATTTGCATTCTAATTTCATAATAGGTGGCATCCCCTCTAGGAACATGTACCGTTCGTTTTCTTTTTGTAGGACTCTTAGAGATTCTATTTCCCCAAATACGAGAGAGGAAATCAATTGTACAATTTGCATATCAATTAAAAAGATTTTCGCTCAGTAATTTCTCAATGATTAGTTCACTGAGTTTGTGTTCAGTAACAACTGTTCAGTAATTAAGTCACTTAATAATCGCTTATAATGTGAAGAAATTTGGTTGTTATTGAACTCTTCCTGGACTTCTCACTCTAACTATCAAGGAAAAAAGATAAGGATAGAAGAAGTCTCATTCATCGTACTGAAGTCGGAGTTGTGAATGATTAGCTCAGTGCACAAACATGTTAAGGATGTAATTTAATAAATAAGGATTCACTAGCGAGAATATAATTTATGGACGAACAAATCAGATTTAGGATAACAAGTCTTGGATTTTGGCGTGAAATTATCTTACCCATTTGACCAAATAGTATCTTAGCATTTTAGCTTATGTCAGTTCACGATGAAAAAACGGTAAATCTAATTCCAAACCCTAACCGTCAACTAGGAATCATGTTCCTTATTCTTCAAACTGTTTTACAACGGTCATTTAGCCATAGTAAGTAGGTAGACATTCTCAAGGTCACTTCGGCATCACTCAAAGGTCTTCCATAAATTATAGACTCATCGGATTCACATTGTGTCATTACTTTTCAATTATTTGAAACTTCAAAACGTTTCCATTTGATCTTAATACTTTTTTTTCCTATTTCCAGTTTATTTTTGAAATTATTTTGGAACATTATATAATATTACTGTAAGACCTGTTTATTTTTACATTTTAAAAAATGCTCTTTCGTCTTTAATATCTTACTGTTATTGACAATTCGAAATGTTTACATATTATAGCAGTTCATAGGGAATATTTATGTCATAAAATGTTAGAAACTAATTAGAATAAAAAAATAATATCTATAATCTTACAATAACAATTCATAACTTTCATTCTATATAATTCATCATTTGTACAATCAGTACATGGTTGACAATGACAAGTAAGATTCTGATATTGATTTAATAAAGGTGACCATATCGATGTCATACATATAATTGGTGATTGAATATTTTGAATTAATTCATTTTGTTGCTGTTGTTGTTGCAAATGACCTTGAAGATGTTTCCACCAATAATTAATTAATTGATCATTTATATTTTTTTGAAATTTATTTTTATCAAATAAACAAAAATTTGGATTGAATGTAGAAAATTTTGAAAAAATATTATTGAATAAAATTTTATTATTTTGATTTTGATCATTTTTCTTTTTATAAAAATTAGTTTTTATTATATTTTCATAATTTATTGATGTTTTATAATTTATTTCACATTTATTTAATAAATTATTCCATTTACATGAAATTCTATTTATATTGATACATTCACTTGATGTTTTAATTGTTTCACATAATTGAATCGATTTTGGTAATTGAATGACATGTTTACTTGTTAATATATAAAATTCTTTACTCTGTTATGATTATTGTTATTATTATAAGGTAATGTATTGCATAGATATCCCCCATCGGATAATAAAACAATAATCCATGTAAAAAAATAGAAATAATTTGGAAAAAAATGAATGAAATACCATTTAAAGATTATTTTCTTTATATATATATATGTTAATAGGGCGAAAGTCTAATTTATGGACGACCTTTGAACGAATCTCAAGTGACCTTGAGACATATTAGCCAATCAGCAAACAGTCAGTATAGAGTAAAAAGATGTTATAGAAAACGAAGGAAATAAAGTGGATACGCTTCTTATACGCGGTTCAAAAACTCGTCAAGGTTAGAAAGAGGTTTAGAGGTTCTAAAATCATAATGCATACAGTAGAGGAAATCATCCATACGGCTACAGAATAGTCGGCCTCTGGAGCCATGATAAAGTCTCAAAAACTCTTTCAACCTCGATCACATAGCTTCAATATTGTTTATTTGCACTCCGGTTGTTGAGTGCACAAAATGCTGCTTGTGGATAACGACACGATGCACATAACCAAGCCATTCGGGAGTCTGTACGCTCTCCATCATCCGTATGTATTGTAGTACCTGGCTGCAGCCAGTGTTGCTGGTGCTTTATTATCCAGTTCGCAATAATTGTCGTAATTTGCCTTAGTTAGGAATTATATATGGGATTTTCATCATGAACTGACATCAACTATAATGCCAGTAGTTGATTTAATCAAAAGGATGAAAGGCTTTCGCGTTAAAATCCGAGATCTATTGTCTTATAACTGGTTGATTCGTCCACAAATTATAGTCTCGCCGTTTTATTTGTTATAGCCGCTCAATTATCACGTTTTGTACAAAATTCCCTGTGAATCGAACGTATGTTAGCATTAAGCACTGAAGTTGGCGCCGTAACCTTGAAATCTTTAAAACGCCACTCATAGGCTCGTCCATAAATTAGAGTCTCGCCGTTAATTAAAGTACCATTAGAAAGTAAAACATAATTGGTAGTTCCAATTTACTTGGTATTGTTTAACTTGAGTCTTCTGATTGATGTTTAGGATTGTAATGGATAAGTCTCTTATGGTATATGTGCAAACTGTATGAATTGACTCAATATTGCCCTAATTAACAAGCATTCTAAACAAAGATGGATAATGGCTAGCAGTGGAATCTAGGATACGCGTTTCGTTCTATTTGGGATTCGTTAGTTGGATATACATGCATCTGTGTTAATGTTCACTCTGGAATTTGAACCTGGTACCGTTCGCTTCAAATGTCATCGCGTTATCCACTTAGCTACTGAGTCCTAATAGTCACTTGTTTGTGCAATGGGGGTGAAGTTTAAATTCACTTGGTATTGTTTACTTGAATTTCCTTATTGATGATTAGGATTGTAATGGATCAGTCTCTTATTGGTAGTTGTTCTTTTTGAATAAATAATTCCTTATCTATGAACATTGATTATCACACTCAGGAGAATTGATTCGAAATATTTTATGTTTATTGATCTAACTTAATTTTTCAAGTCTAATCATTTGATGATATAAGTCGACAATAACTAACGTCAACTATTCACTAATCCCCAGTTTTTAATTGTCCTTTAGCTGATATCAGTTTGAACATGAAGAATTTCTTTAGATGTCATAAGCTTGTGAAAATTTATCTAAGTACAAGAACATATGAATAATTGAATACAAAATAGCAGTAAAGTATAGGAGTGGTCAATTAATTTGGAGAGATAAAATTTGATGATTTACTCGTCAAAACTGAACACCATCTAGCAGTCAAATTGAGAATACGTTGATTTAACTAAACAACTGGATATCACCATTGGTATTCATTTTGAGATCACAAAGAAAATATGTTAAAACCTTCTTCCACTTATTTTAAATTTCAATGTGAACTAACCAATTTTAATATTGTTGTCAGACAGTTCTTAAGTAATCCAGTTCAGTTTAGATAAACGATATTGTGTAAACATTTAAACGCAATTGTATTTTCAATACAGTGAATTCAGTAATAAAGTAATACAAATGTAAAAACTTCTTGCCCATAACGAACTTTCCTTTCGAACATACTCAAGTTATTGATTTCTATAAAATCTACAGCGTTGTAAACTACTTGGCTATCAATTCTAGGTTTCAGTTATTCACGTTGATACTAAAAAAAATTATCATGTCTAGGGACAAAGTAATCACAAACGATGAAATTCGAAAAAACCTAACTTTTATATCCATTAATCTATCTTGAATTATAGCATTTTTCTGTTTACATTTTTTAACAAGGAATTTCAGAATACTTTGATAAACGACTAACATCAAATCTACCTGACCTTATTCTTAGTCTATTTGATATGTGGCTAGGAGTAGAATCAAACGCTCAGGTTTCATTCTACCTGAAAATCCGCAGTTGGATGTACCTGATTCCCAAACAAACTCGGATCTATTGTTTTTTACTTTAGACGTCCAACGTGTTATCCACTGGTTTACTGATTTTGAATAACCGATAACGTATTCAACAGTTATGGCGATAACAACCATAGTTATGTACCAAATATTCAAAATTTTGTAACATAACGCTGTATCGAGGTGATCTGCCCAGGATACACACATGGCAACAAAGACTAATCAACTGGAGTCTTGTACATCAACTACGAAAATGATAAACCAGAACTAGTGGTTCTTATTCTTCTCTTAAGAAAAATCCATATTTAAATCTTTAGATGATTTTTAAAAAAATTATTCTACCTAATAAATCCCGGAATCAATCAAAGTGTATCGACTAAATTTCACTCCTAGCCGTTATCAAGAATGTATAATTGTATTGATCATGTTCAATAGTAAATTTCAAAGACGTTAGTAAACCAAACCAACAAACGTCAAGTCAACAAATCTTTATAACCTTCCTATCATAAATCACTTTCATAGAATTCCTGGACAGCTGGACGAGAACTTGTGGAGAATAGTATCAGGCTGAGATGAAACAGTTGTCTAATACTTTTAGGTTTTACATAGTTTTGATAATAGTCAGGAGCGAAAACTGTTATCAAGTTGGACAGATTGTCACAAATTTATCCATTAAAGTATCTCTGGGTAAACGAGTATGTTTTTTCATACAACTCAGTGTTTGTTAAGATATTTAAAGATACTGGTTTAAAAAGAAGTTGATTTGAACTTTAAAATCAGTGAGAATAAGGGAATATTAGGCGGTTCTTTCATCGTAGTGTGTGGTTTTCCTTCAATCTTCTAATAACCAATCAGATCCAGGATCTTAAAGTCTATCTGGGAACATTTTACCGTCAAATCATCTAGTTGGTATAAGATAACCTATATATTCAATTTTAATCAGTAAGAGTATAGAGTGTAACGGATGTTCAGTGTTATCTGATTTTTTTTGTTAATTTATATCAATGTGTTATGAAACTTAACTACAGCTAAGGATCTAATTACAAGTTTGCGTACTACCGATCTGTAGATATACGGATAAATACATATTAAGTATTTCATCGAAGATCGACTTCAAATAAGCTACTGTTTTTCTATTAAAAAAATTAGGTACCAGTTATAAGCACAGTATACATGTTTTCAAAAACTCACTGGTTTGATATGTTTCATATAAATACCTGTAATAATTTCATTTTCTATACCAAAATCTTCAATCGTCAATTGATCCCAAGGACATATCTCCATGGTATCATCCGTAGATAAATTAAATAATGCATAACGCTCAATACGTTGTTTACCAGCTAAATATAAGATAACATTCTTGTCGTTATGATCAATTTCTATATGATACCAGCCTAATTGATGACTGTTTTGTTTAAATGGTAATCCTGGGACAGGACGAATAATTAATGGACGATTATCAATTGGATTCACATGTTTAACACGTAATAGATGTGTTCTTGGTAGTTGACGTATTTTATCTATATTTGATTCTGTCAGCTGACCAGAATCCAAATTTTTACACTGAATAAACAAAGTTTAGATACGAATAAATTGTAATTCAATACAATGACGTAATACAAGAGTAAGGAAATATTAAACTTATTTGCTATTTGAAAGAGATAACAGGTGAGAACATATAGGACTTAAGTAGCCATTCAGTTTGTTGGATTAATTCGTATACTTCTCAGTAGTTATTTCATGACATTGTAATATTATCATAATTGTAAACTATTTTTTAACCAAATAATTGTTGTGATGTATTTTACGGGTTAGCGGCCACGTTAACTAATTAATTCACTAAATAACGAGTTATCGTTTAGAGAGAAAAGTACTGGGTTTGAGTTTGGTTGTGGACATCAATAGTGGTATCTAGGCATGTCCAGAAGACGAATCCAAAATAAGATAGCGGGTGAGTCCTGGGTTGAACTGTTAACCATAATTTATCTATTTCACACTAAAATTTGTGAAAAAGTGGCTGTATCATGTCAATCATAACAAAGTACAAACATCCCAACAACAATTGATAGAATTTCAGCTGTGAATATTGACAATGAGATAACTCAAATCTTTAACAGTAATCATATACAAATCCGTTATTGTGAAAAAATGTAATTGTTACGTCCTTAATGATATTTGTTGTTTGTGTTACGTTTGGATCTTTTATTTGAGGCATATGACCACGTATTTTATTAGTCTAAGTACTAAAGAGATCAGAGAATACTTTCTAATGTTCTAATTGAAGGCTTGGAAACTTGTAAATGTCCGTTATTTATTAATCTTGTTACCAACATCAAAGAAGCTAGTGTATTTATGGTTGGTTAAGTAAGGAAAAACAATATCTACTGATAATTGATTAACTGTTAAGTAATAATGCAACTTCACAAAGGGATCCTCAAAACTGTAAAGTCGTATACATATGGGTTCATAAACAAGTTTTATATAATTAATGATACTAAGTCGTGATCTGAAATCGATATCTATAAGATAAAATTAAGTACTGATTCTTACTAGAAATTGTAAGAAAAGTCACTTACTTGGGCAAATACACTTACACACAAACAAACCATTATTTGCATGGAGATTGTAGTAGTTTATAAACTATCTATAACTCACCATATTTTCAAAAGTATTTGGCAATATTTGAGTTTTGCCCAAATTTTCATTTGGTGCTAATTGACTATTGAATGCATCTTCTATGTCATTTAATGCATAAACACAAAGTGCATCACCAGTAGGATATTTCCTATATTTATAAATGATTGATCAAAATAATTAAATATCTTAATGAATATTGCTAGATAGAGGCGAATATATAGGAAAGATGAAAATTTTAGGACGGTTACATAAGGAATTGTTACATTTGTTTTTGTTATGTAATTTCCAAATATTTGGTTGGTGGCATTTCCATAATGTCATAATTATAAACTGTCATTTAACTTAGTCAGTGTTATAGCTCATTGTGGTCTCCTAATTGATGTATATAATCTTGTTAGCTTTTTGAGACTTAATAACAGAAAATTTACTGCCCGAGTGTTCTGACTGCCGACTGGGGATACAACAGTCCTGTTGGACAAACGTGAAATAGGATTTCTGGTCATTGTGTGCGGTCAGTTGTGCTATTGGTTAGGGAGAAGTTTATTGATCTAATAGGTTTGAGTGAACACGGATTTAGTAGACTCTGTAGTATCGTGATCCTATTGATTGGACATATTGAGAAGTAAACGTTCTAACAGGTACGTAAGACAAATGTTATGGATGTCGAATTGTATAAGGAAATGATAGAGAAAATTCGAAATATACTCTAATAATGTCCAGAAAGACCATGAAGGCTTCATGATTAATTAATCCACAATATAATGCAGAACACTTCCAAAACAATTTACAATATGATATTAAATGCAAAAAGAAGTATTGTAATCGGATTTATTGTTTTCCCAACTGTTTCCAAGTTTCTCAACGAATACAGTCTGTTTTGAATGTTATATCTCCCATAGCCCATAAATTGTTTTAATAGATAGACAATATTTAACAGTTGCAAGAATTCGGCAAGATCTCCTAGGTTTCTGATATGACGAGTGGATTTACGGTATTTTTCATTCTGTGGTACAACACTACTACGGTAATGCGGCAATAAGACTGAGTTTGGTGACTTAATTTAAATACCTCTAAATTGGAAACATGGACGATAATCTGTAGAGAGACTAGCTCGCGTTATAAGAGATACCCGATTCATGAGCAAAAATAGAGTACTAGAGTAACGTTAGACAGTACTTTATTCCAACCAACTACAGGAGGTCATTCACAGTGAGTCGGAAATAGAAATCAATAAGAGGAAAGGAAACCACTCATTTAACAGTCAATAAGTCGAATCTGTGTTTTTCCACACTTAATGATCAATCTCATTTACTTTCACTACTACATATCAGTTCCATGCTAGTTGAAACTTATCTATCCAATATTTAACAGACCGATGTTTAGCGAGACTCGAAACCCAGAATCGTGGATGCGCACTGCTGAGGAGTCCAATACCGGGGTGAAATGGCCGTCCAGTGCTCTCAGGTTTCCAATAGTGGTCTAACATTGATTGGTTCATAATCTCAATTAAAATTCTTATATTTATTGATTCTTTTCAGCTCAGACTAAGTTTAATTGATGCAATAATTCAAGAAAGCATATAATCAAAATTATTTTACATATCAATTTTAGAATACCAGTAGAACAGCTTATATGAATATAATAAGTCATTAAATCAATCTGAAATATTAATAATATTTCAAACTGACTTTAGAATATTTTACTGTGTTCAAGATGATTGTGGTATCTTTCCATAAAAAGTAGTGTACTTACACATAAGATTCCTGCTTTATTACGCCTTATACTCTAGAAATGTTGATAGTATAAACTTTATCACAATGAATGACATCATCAAACTCGTTGAGTGAGGATTTCATAGAAACATTTTATCAGAAGATGTAATACCTAATTAGGATTGTGTTATATCGACGAGAATGGAGCAAGGGTGAGAAAATATTTTCCATATTTTTATTCTATGGATGTAAAACACTTGGATTATGTCCTAAACATTCAAATTCGCTTATTTGAAAGCTTTTGTTTGACCAATAAATCGTTGTTATATATTTTATTATTATTATAGATTCATAGTTAATTATTTTTTATTGCTTTCTGTCTTCGTCTTCTGATTCGACAGTGGGTTGAAAAAAGCTCAATAACCAATAGTTGTCAGGGTCTTGCTCGTTGTCCAATGGTCACTGGGGTAGTTGGTAAAATGGGTTACCAATCCTAAAGACAACATAGATGAGTTAATCAGCTGTCAAACTAGGCAGTACAACTGCTCCCATAAAATGACCAGACCACACACGTCCCAATCAAGTACTCTGTTCTAGATATTAACATTATATTCCAAGTGTCCCAAAATATGAGCCGAACAGTAAAATAGGGTACTACAAAATAAATAAACTTCAATTATAGCGTTTTCTGTAGGGAAATCTCCCGAACATAACGGACCTAACATGATTCAGAGATTACAGTGAAGACCAATAAATGGTAAAACAAATTCGATGTAAAGTGAAAGGCTAGAGTAGGAACTCTGTATAGTCAATACACGAAGGACCGAATGATAATGACTAGATCTCATGAAGTCTAGGTCATTCGTAAGAGCCGGAAAAGTAGCCAATCGCAAGACAGTATATGCAGTAAAAAACACATTTTCCCACTAGTGTCAGTGGATCATGGGTAAAGTAGGACTTAACGCTAACAAATGAGAAAGAATGAAAAGACAATCATGTAGAATACATGGCTCATAAAATGCAACGTATTTGCACAAATCTCAACTTTACTGTTAAGAACCCAGAGAATATCCGGGGAGCGTTGTCTTAACGGTTACGTCCAGCTCAACTGAAAACAAACATTAGGCAGAGAGTTATCTAGTTTTTTTAACTTTATTTTATTCATAAACAAGGATAAGTTGAAGAGGCGTTATAGTTTCAACAGTTGGTACATATGATCTTACAAGATATTGGATCCAGTATTTTCAATTTTCGCAGCAGTTATATCACTGTTAAAACTGATGATATAATTTTTCAACTTATTTCATTTTGTGAGACAATGTGACAAGCATATAATGCTGTTGACGATAACTCTTGTATTTCTTATGTGGTTACGACGTCATTCGTAGATTATAACGAGAACTTTATGAACATGTCTCGAAACTAGCCACCAGTATGTACATAATGGTTATAATTATAAGAACGGGAGTCCTCTTGGAAAACCTTTGAAAATTAGGTAAGATTGAATGGCTTGTTTTCCAATAGTTCTCACTTTTGTATAAGCAATTGTAAACAGTATTTACAGTATATCAACAAACATATTTTGTAAGTTTACATCATAAACTAACTTCAATTAGAAAAAAATCAAAACTCCGAGAGCGCTGGACAGGTGTTGCATCTTAGTATCGGACTTTTCAGCAGTACACATCCACTAACCCAACAGGGATTAGATTAAGAACCCCAAACCGTGCGGTTAAGATTTGAACTTCAGACTACTGAGTTGTTATCCACTGGTTTACATTTCTAGCTTCAATTGATTCACGATGTTGAGGGAACATCATCCATAAGAATTGGTTTATATTTATCTTCTACTCAATGTAGTTAAAGTCTACAGGTTTGGTTCGAGAGAAGTAAAAATTCAAATGATTTAAACTACAAACAAAAGTGACACAATAACTTACATGCCAGTTTGATAGCTAACATATAATTTGTTATCCAAAGAATCCCATTTGCCAGATATTGAATATCCATAAGAAAATTCAGTCAGTAACGGATCAGTAAACAGTTCCTTTTTATTTTCTGTCTTATAATTATAATAATTTATAGGATGATTTTGATGAAATTTACATTCTAATGTCACTTTACTAAAGTAACAAATTCACCTTCATTCACATATTGATATCCACCTGGATCCCTTTTACATATTCTTATTAGGCGTGTAACTGGTGTTTCAGTGATTGACGATAGTATTGTTGTCTTTATTGAAGACTTTGAAAATGATGATGAGGATGAAGATAAAGAAGAGGAAAATTGAACGTTATCAGTATCAACAAAAGAGCTAGATGTTTGTACGAAACGATTATGAATTCTAGCTTCACATGTTGGTGATTTTAATTCACGAATTAAGAAATAAGCAGAATCCGATGTTTCAAATGCACAGATGAAATGAGTTGATTCTATATTAAGATTGTAATAAGAAGAAAACAATTTATTAATCATGCTTTTGATTAAATTGAAATAATAATCACATGTTCATCGGTAACTAAATTCAAGATGTGTCATTCTCGAAGTTAAAGTCTATTTAATCAAGTCAAGAGTAAAATAGTAGAATACCGATGATTGTAAATAATTTTCTTATTTACTTAACGAATGTGACAAATAGAGAAGAATGAGTCACATAAAGTATACTACGAAATAATGTAAGTAATTAGACTACAAGGAGTTATGAAATGAGATAGCAAGTGTGTGTGTGAAAACCATTTTGTCTGATTGTGGTAAATAATAATTTGAAATACTTTACATTTCAAATGTTTCACTATTATTTGTTCCCAGCTGTCATATATATTAATAGTAAATATATTTTTGTTATATTTCAATGAGTAGAAGATTGTATTTCTGACGTTTCGTGACTTGATGTAAGCCATTTCTTCCGAGTAAATAAATAGCTGAAGAAGTAGCTTAAATTAAGTTACAAAACGTCAAAAATACAATTTTCTGCTCACTAGGTCATAACAAAAATATATTTATTATTGCGTTTCTACACAATACTCAATTTATTTGAAACTATCGAGTTCAACTTTGGCATTGATGTCATCATGTATTCTAAGAATACATAATTCCGCTTATTTCAAATACAGACTTCTTCATTTATGTTGTCATTTCCATATTTATTTGATTTATCACTACTTCTCATCACAATATTTGGCATAGTACAACTTAAATGAAATAATGGGTTATATAAGATAATTTATTAATCGCAAAAGTAAAACACGTAGTTTCTCTGTATAATAAGTTGGATGAAAATTTTTCTTCCATATGGTAAAACCAAGCCGAATTAAATGAACAACGCATATTAAGATAAATGATGTTTAATTTATTTTTAACTATAAAATCTTCAATAGTGTGGTAAAATCCTTTTTCTGTCTTAGAGTAAAGTTGATAGTTATATAATAAAAGGGATCTAGTGCTAGACCTTTGAAAATCGACCATTATTCCATGTAGGTTAATAACTCATTCCGTTCAAAGAATATTATATAGTAGGAAACTAGCATATATACGGTAAGATAATTCGCATAGCTAACGAAAGCATTTCTGTAGAAGAAAATGAACCATTCAGTAAAAATGATAGTGAAATTTAATTTTTCTACAGATAGATCTATGAATGAGTCCCCTGACTATCGAGTACAAAATTATGGAGTGGTCAAATTCAGAACAGGAATACTGTGTCAATAAAACCTGCCAGAGTATATAATTTAAGGAATTGTATAAGTTTTTTCATGGCTTATAATAAGTTTCCCGATATTAACACTACGGTAGTATCATTGTGTTATCTTATTCTTACATGGCTATCAATAGTTTGATAGAAAATCTACCAGCGTCTGACAATTATTTATTAACAATTTCAGCGTAGAGTTTGGGAGATAAATTCATAAGACAATAATATAGGGAAATCATGCGTAGAAATCATTATCGTATTCATCATTTGTAATTCACCAGCTCAATCATTTTTCACTGAACCACTGATTAAATGATTTCATTAAGTGTTTACTATAAACAAAACAAATTGAGACAAAAAACGTATTCGTTTTCGTGTTATATAGAATCTATATGGGACAAATTTAACATTTGACATGTTCCATACTGTAACTTTTACTTGATGATGATAAAAAGAATTTTTGCTAATCATTTTAAACACTTTGACCACTATAAAAGGATGATTCTGTGAAATTATTTTCTAAGTTATTTATTTTAAAATTTCCTGCTAAATAGTGAGTCTTTTTCTCAATTCCGATTGGTTTGTCATTACATCAGTCCCATTTACATTTCTTATACGATTATATTTGATCTATTTACTTTGTTCTAAGTTAATTAGAACATTTTGTAGATTTTATTTATTGTTTATATGGTCTCCTGCTTATGATATCTCTTAATTCCAATCAACTATTCACTAACAAAATGTTCACTGTCATCCAATAACTAGTCGTCACTGGCATTTTTCATTCTGGTAGTGTTCTACTTCTACATACAACAATTCAGCCTATGGAATTTCTTAAAATATACATCTAAGACAATACAGCTTACTTAAAAAAATTAGAATGTTTGACATTCACAAACAACAATTTACATGTTGCTTTTTGGACATTGAACTGTCTATAGAAGTAATAAATCGAAACATGTTTTAGTTTGATAGTCACCTGATAGGTAACTGTGGACTTATTGAGAAGATTGGTTAACCTGATACTAAGTGAAAAGTGTAAAACTTAATCATAAAGTTCTATAGAATAAATATGAGACATTGGATGGATTGTCGTGGTTTCGCAATGACTGAATTGAACAATCTATAGGTCAGTTATATTAATACATCTATTATATTCAAAGTTATTCTCTAGTTTCTCAACAATGAATTTATCCTTCACTGTTTAGTACTGACTATTTTAGTTATGACTGCTTTTTAAAGTTACAATCAATTGTGAATGGTAACGAATATGACAGTGAAAATATACTAACCTAAATCTGTTGTCTTTAAAAAGAAAAAAAGCTTTATGTCAGAATTTTGATAAAACATTAATAATTCAAAAAACAGTGGGTGTAGATACAATCCTCATTTATCATTCGTCTTAAATGATTACTCGGCTACTCTGTGAGATAAATGCTCCTTTCAAATTTCCAAAGGGGAATGAGTAAAATTTATTAATGAGGAAACTCTTAGACGAAACATTTTTTCGGTAATATATGATCTTCATTTTTTACCTGAAGTCCTATCATCAAATATTGTTTTATCAAATCACAGTGAATTAATTGAATTACCTTTTAAAAAGACATCATCTGGTGGAGTAGCCAAGAATTGATTCCAATTAGCTTTCCCATCAAAATTTGGTAATCTCGAACGATGTATTCGCATTGCTCCATGAAACCAACCAGAGCTATACAAGAAACCATCACTACCCATTAGACTTACACCTGGACGATTTATATCAAGTGATGAGTATACAGAATTCTCCCATTGAACTAAACGAGATTCAGGTTCTAAATTAAGCGGCTAAACAATTAAAAAATTATGTATACAAACAGTAAATTATAACATTGATTGATCGTTCAACATTAGTCATTGTTATGTCTATTTTATACTTGATGTTGATAGAATTCTATCTGTCTACTTAAAATTTATCCTCTAGTCTACGTGATTCAACAACTTAGTAAGAAAGATGACATATTAATTGGTTGGAACCCATCAGTAGTAAACTCAGAGCTTAGGTTACTTACTAGTTGGCATATCTGTTATCCTAAGAAAAACGATTCACTCTGCTGTTTACTTTCAATCACTTAATATATAAATACGGAAATGAATAATTCAATATGATACAACAGCAACGAGATTTCACATGTGATTTTGTCGAATTTCAACTTAAGAAAAAGATTAATGTCTTCAGTACTTCGTAGGGAACTTATTCACTAAAAATAGTTTCTTCCTTGAATTATGTCACTAACCAAGACCAAAAATAACAACCAGTAATAAATTCTGCGATCCAAAATATTGTTCACAGAATTATAGTTTTTGTTGAATTGGAGAATTTCATTGTAGACTTGTTTTGTCTAGTTCCCTCGGTGTGGCATTTTATTCACTTCACAATGTATCTTCATTCAAATTATTTTCAATGAGCTTACTTTAAATGCAACACAAATTAGTTAACCTTCAAAACTATCCAAATAATAGTCTACCTGAATAGTATTATATAAAGATCTGTTCCAGTAGTGTTCTCCAAATATATGTCTCTTGTACGACTATATTCAAAATAATGTTACCGGGGAAAAATATATAAGTGAGCAAATTACCCATCAATATAAACAAGGATTCACGAGTGAATGATATTGATTTCAGACTTTAGAAATAACTATCAAATATACAATTCAAAAAGGTTGTATTTTAGTTCTTGATTGGTTGAACACTAAAAACTATAATTTAATCAAATATCTACATCAAATTTTGATGGATAATTACTTAGGAATAGTATTACTTGTGAAATACATTTTCACATATAAAATATAACAAGTTAATATCTTTAAAAACAAACAAAAACATTTATTAATCGTTAGTCAGTTTTTTTGACAAAGATTCTAACTTCCTTAACTGAAGGTACAAAAGTAGTTGATTGTAACCGGGAGGTTTACAGAACATAATCACTTACAATTCACTTTTGTATTATTTGTTTGAATCTTCATATTAATGTTTAGGAATACAGTTGATCAGTCTTTTATTGGCATATGTGCACCCTCTACTGATTGCCTCGATATTGCCTTCAGTCACAAGCATTATAAACAAAGATGGATGGTGGCTAACAGTGGAATCTAGGACGCACGCTTCGTCCTACTTTGGACTCGCCAGTTGGATGTACTTGCATCCGAGTTGATCTTCACTCCAGGACTGTATGCAGGTACATCCAGCTGACGAATTCCAAATAAAAGGAAACGCGCGTCGTCGATTCTACTACAAGTTAGAATTTCGCAATTTTGAACAAACTGTCAAATCGTTAGAACATGATTGGAATTTGGAGTAAAATGGTAACGGGAAACCATAGATCTGTACTTTTTGCTTGTTGGAACTCATCGACAAGGTCAAGAGTTGTTTCTCCCCATGGGATTTAAGTGAGCATCATCCAGTTTCATAGCCTAAAATAGTACCCCAGAAGTGAACGAAAACTTGGTGGGGCAACCCAAAATATTGACCAACGCGGAATTACCGTGATTTACCAGAATATGAAAACCAAACATTGAATACGTTGTTTGTACATCTTCTTTCCCCTGTCGTTTACATGCTTCAATATTCGTCCAATTCTGTTGTTATTACATTTGCTCTCTGCCTCTCTTTCTGTTCTCTTCAGCTCAGTCTTCTTAATCTTCTGTTAGCGGGCCTTCCACTTCCAACTGCTGCCAAATAATACCTATAACTCTCAACTTTAGTAGCATACACTACAACCCTAAGCTATTTGAGTTGCTGCAGTCCTCCAGTAGGACTGAGATATTTAAAACTGAGTAACGACCAATATAATATTTTTCTAGTTTTTAGTACTGATCAAATCCTATCGATCAGTTCGAACTAGATTTCAAACTCTCATCTCCAAATAGTTGAACTGTTTAACAACATTTCACTGACCTAAATACTAACTTGACTAAATAACAACTTTCCTCATTCAAAAGTTGTATCATTTTCTGATATTTCTTTCACTTAGTAGGACATAAAGTATTAATAAAATCAGTCATATTTGCTGCTAATTCTCCTGTTCTTTAACATCCCAACTTACAATTTCATCAATACACGGATTTAAATTAATTTTCCTCATTTTTTCTAAATTAACAATTCATAATGATAATTATCAGAAGGGTTTGTGGAGATTTTAAAAATTTCACAGATTGAAATCATGAGTCATCTGAAGCTAGACCACCATGGAAAACCTGGAAGCACTGGACGGCCGTTTCGTCCTAGTATGGGACTCCTCAGCAATGCACATCCACTGATGGACTGATAGGTCCTGGGTTCGAATCTCGCGGGGGTGCGGGATCGTGGATGTGCACTGCTGAGGAGTCCCATACTAGGACGAAACGGCCGTTCAGTGCTTCCAGGTTTTTCATGGTGGTCTAGCTTTAAATGACTCATGATTTCAATCTGTGAAAATTCATAATGATAAGTCATAAAATTAATAATTCTGTTGAATTCATACGAAGACATTTCACTGAAATAAAAAAAATATATCGATTTCAGTAGTTACTAGTAGAAATTACTAAAAAATTAAAACCGTAAGACTCACTGAAGGTATTTCACATCTTGCAGATTGTACATTTGGAATAACATTTTGATTCATATAGACTGTTTGATAAAGATAACAATACCAAATATTTTGTTTATCATGAGTTTGTAGTAACAAATTAAATTCCGGTGTTTCGATGCATGGAGTCTGTTCATTTTGTTTGTTTTTTTAAAAATTGAATATGAATATTTAGTTCATTTATGGTGTTAGTTTATCGATCGATGGATATGAAAGAAAAGAGATTAGAGGTAAATACAAGATAAAGGGAAAGTTACTGCTTCAGTAAAATATTTTGTGTAAAAATACTTTATTATTAAGATTTGCTTAATCTATTCTTTTGAAGAACTTTTGGAAGTCAGTGACAGAAGACATATATGTACCGTCGTCATAGCGTAGTGAACAGAACACGGGTGGGAACAATCGAATGTTTGTAACACAACATTACAGGACTTGTTAATAAAATCTAATAACCATAAAGTAAATGCTTAATTTGCAAAATGTCCACCAGTTGTCTCATAATGACTGAGACTTCATTGTTCTTGCATTTTCATACAAGTTGCAACCTGTTTCCATTCTTTACTGTTCGATCCTCTTGTCTCTCTGCTGTCAGTCCTTCTCTGCACGACTAACATTATCTACTACTTATGTCAATATAAGTAGCACACACCACAATTGCACTATATCATAAATTGAATACGGTTGGAGATCTATGAATATTTTTAGATTTCGACCAAATGACCTGAAGCAATGATGTTTTCTACCAGATATGAACGTTCCTAGTTAAATCTATAAATGGTTGTTATGAGTAAATAACGGTAGAGAGTTATAAACTGAGTAACTAAAGATGAGTCAGAGTAATTACGGAGCCTACTTGATATGAAACTGAAAATAGCTTTTTAACTCCTGAACAAACGGAATTTATCGATAGTTGTGTAACAGTTTAGATATAAAAACTTTCCTTTACCGTTTAGTAAGTTATCAGAATTCAGTTCACACTCAATTAATTAATATTGATTGTTTTACAACTGCTAGTAAGGCATTCATTACGTAATTTTATGCATATTTACAGTTAGTTACTATTTAATTAAAATATTGGAATAGAAGAAAATAATGTGCTGAAAACTTTATATTTATGTACTTTTTAGTTACGGAACCAACGAATATGTATTTTGTAGTTAAAACGGTTACGTACATTAAGCAGCCATAAAACTTTCAATCTGAAAGTTATATGTTTCTGCTTTCAACTTATAACCTTATATGTCGTTTACATTCAGTGTTAAGACGATATAACGTATGATATGAAGTACACTCTCTCACTTATATTACAATAGCACGTTATTACGTCCTTATATCAAGACCAGGATTCATGACCCAGAATAGAGAACCAGATTAACACTAGATAATACTTTATTCAATACAATTACAACCAGTCATTCTTAATGAGTCCGGGGTAATTGTCAATGAAATGAAAGAAAATCACATATTTTATAGTTCGTGCTGTGCTTATTTGTCCATACTCAATGACTAATCATCATTTAATTACCACACATCGCAAGAATAAGTCTTATGAACAATCTGAACTTTTCAAAAGTAAAGATGATCCAAAATGTGTTATATAGTTTGGAAAACTAAACACTTCATATTTCATAAATATGTCCGTGTATATTCAATAGTTAATTCCTAGTTTATGAGGATTACAATGGACTAAGAAAATAAGATATCATTTAGATCTATAACAATAAACTTGACCCACTGGAAATAAATCAAATACTCGCGTATACACATTCATACAAACTAACTTTTGTATTCGCCATACAGAATGATGTTATTGGTTTTGATGGCAACTCAAAACTAGCCATCAGTCGAAGATTTTCTGGATTCAAGCGAAATATTGCGTTCCTAAAAATAAAGAAACATAATTGTGATTATTATTGATGACAGTAATTAAAGATAGAAATGATTATACTTTTCATGATCGGAATACTCTAACAATGTTATATGTCTCTACTTATGACGCCACTGTTCTTATTTCGCTGTTGAAATGGACGATTTGATTACTAGTATCAGGAGCTCTGAACCAAGGTTTCATAATATTTTGTACCTGTCAACAGCGTGCTTTAGCAATCCTTAATGGATTGGTGTTACCCTGGCCTGGAGATAAATAAGATAATATTTCACAAGACAACTGAAAGTTTGAAAAATAAGTAAAGACCCATAATTTCAAGAAATTTATACTGAATTTTGTCGGTTTTCTGGATTTGAGCTGACAAGTTTCAAACAGAGCAAGGTAATGGACAGTAAAATTCATAAATGCCTACCTTTTTTATTTTTTGAAGAAGTACTCATATGATTGGTTCATTATCACTTTCGTGATGTGTCCTATAACTGTTTGATGACGCTTTTGAGTGGTAGTAGTAGAGTACAGGTGGATGGTGGAGGATAGAGGCATTTACAATAAATTTCATACCATTAGAAAATTATTCCCGTTTTAAACATGCCACTCCTTCAATCTGAAGTATTTTGACTACTAAATTTTGATGAGATTTGAAGATGAAATTTCATTTCAAGATGGGCACCAGTGGAGAGTCCCAAATTATAGCGAAACGCTTACCCAATGTCTTTTGTTGATAAAATGTTGCCCTATTGATTTTATCCCTTGACAAAAGTTACTTTATGTTATTTGATTTACTCATTAAAGGAAAATTCATTAAATCAAAATTCAAACATTTATGCATCACTTGAAGATTATTATTATTATTAATAGATAGTAACGAACCGTAATACCTACTAATTTGTTTTAGGCCATTTGGTGCTTATCGACTAAGCATATTCATGACCTCGAAAAATCTATGAAAATATTGTAATTCAAACTAATTTTATTTCGTCACATAATGATCAAAAATGTTACAGTTTGAATATATTCAATAGTTGAATGAATAAGTGATGAAGTTACCGTTTGTTGTTGTCTATTCTATGGTGTGGTGAAAATTTGTAGATATCAAATAATTCGTATCAGAAATAACATTATAATATAAGAAAATAATTGGAATGATTTTTGATTGCAATAAAATTTCTCTTCATAAGTTATCGTTGGTTGAATAAACAGTGAAAATGAAGGAGTACTTTGTATGTCAATGGATGGGATGGAGATCTGAGCAAATGTGAGAACCACAGAGGAATCACATTACTTCCAGTACTGGGAAAAGTTTTCAAAAGTGTTGTTGAACCGGATGAAAGACTTAACAGACGCCCAACTTCGAGATCAACATATCGGATTACGTTAGCATCGGTCATGCACTGACCGAATCGTGACATTACGGATCATCGTTGAACTATTATTTGAATAGAAATCATCATTGTACACCAACTTCTTTGATTATGAGAAGGCGTTCGACATTGTAAACAGGATGACCGTATGGAAACGTCTTCGACACTATATTGTACCTGATAAGACTCTCAACATCATATGGAATTCATACGACGGACTTCATTAAAAAATCGTGCATGAAGGACAGCTGATAGACGCATTACAAGTAAGGACCGGAGTCAGATAAGACTGTCTATTCCCTCTCTTTTTCTTCTGGTGGTCGATTAGATTATGAAAACCTCGACATCTGCAGGAAAGCACGAATACAATGGACAGCTCGGAACCAATCAGAAGATTTGAACTTCGCAGATGACCTGGTCTTCTATCCCATATACACCAACAAAGTCAGGTCAAGACAACTAGTGTAGCAGCAGTCTCTGTGTCAGTAAACCTCAACATACACAAAGGAAGAAGCAAATCCTCAAATATAAGACAGAGAATATCAACCAACTCAATCGCACTTGATGGAAAAACTCTGGGAGTGGTGAGAACGTTCACGTAACTTGATAGCATCATCGATGAACAAGATGTTAGGGTAAGGATTAGCAAAACAAGGTCAGCATTCCTACAACCCAACAACATGTGAAACTCAAAACAAATGTCAACCAATATAAAAGTCAGAATCTTCAATACGAACGTCAAGACGGTTCTACTGTACTGGGCTGAAACTCCGAAAACTACTACAACTACCATCGAAAATGTACAAGTATTTCCAAACAGTTGTCGACGCAAGATACTCAATGTTCGTTGACCGGATACCATCAGCAACAGTTTACTGTAGGAGAGAACAAACCAACTTCCAGCTGAAGAGGAAAGTAGGAGAGGATACTAGATGTGGATGAGACATACATTACGGAATCATGAAACTGGATCACGAGACAATCTCTAACGGAAAAGAGGGAGGCCAAGGAACACATTGTGTCGGAAATTGGAAGCAGACATGGAGAGGATGAATAGCAACTGCGAAGAACTGGAAAGTATTTCCAGAATGAAATGGAAAATGCTGGTGTGCAGCCTATGCTTTCACGAAAGGTAAAAGGCGTAAGAGCGTAAGAATGTTTCCCCTGATGTCATGTTCAATTATATGCTCCATTCTCATTACAATAACATTCCACTCCACACTAGACGTAATTACAGCACTGAATTAGTACTACGGAAATCCTGAAACTGCATCACGAGACAATCCCTAATTTGGAATCGTGAATGGAAATGGGAAAGAGGAAGGTCAAAGAACACACTGCTTCGGGAATCGGAAGCAGACATGAAAAGGATGAGTAGTAACTGCGAAGCACTGGAAAGGATTTCCCAGGACAGAGTTGGGTAGGGAATGTTGGTAAGCGGCTCATGCTCCTTCACGAGAGGTCACAGTTGCAACAAGTAAGCTATCTATGAAATCGTTTAAATTTCAGGACTCATCCTCTGTCAGTATCGAATACGATTTAGTCACTATAACAACCATGAGGTATTTAGTGATTCTGCTGTCAGGTTGCAGGCCCAATTGACTCATGATAAGCTGCTTCAATTCTATGAAAGTGGCATTCCAAACGCCTTGAAATTTCTAGAACTTCATTTTCGAATACTGAAATCAAGTTACTTTGTTCTTAAACTAATCCAGTAATACTAACTATGAATCTTAATTTTGAAATATATAAAATCAACTTCCTCAGGTCTCTCAGACATCAGACTGACTTCGGTTTAAAGCAAAATTTTCTGGGATTTTAAAAAAAAGCACCCTGTTCGGTTTAAAACGGACTCGGAAATATCTCACTTTTAATCCAGTTTGTGATCTAGGCTTACTTTCCACCTTTACATTCAATAATTATTTTGATGAGACGAAAAAAAGCTATTTGAAATATGAACGTTAACACTGAAATATTCATATACGTAAATAACTGCTCATGATATCTTACCTGTTTCCAATAACGAAAATACTGTTCAGGTGAGGTAATTCTAAGAGGTTTGTATAATTTCCAGAATGAAGATGATAGAAGATGTTGCCTTGACCCATTGAAATCAAATCTAAATACAAAATCAAGTTCATTTTAAAGAAAACTGGTGGTAGTAATAAAGATAATCGAACTAGATTACCAGATGATAGAAAATATTGTTGATAATTGGCATCGGTAAGAATCCGTTTGACACTTACTTGAAAGATAAGTGATTACAACTAGTCACTTAGAACTATATATAGTTGTACTATCTAGCGTATATTGGGTATCCCACAAAATTTTACTTGACTTTTAATAATGTCAGCAGGAAAAGATATCCATATATGTTAATCAAGCATGTTAAGAGTGAGCTTCAATATCACGAATTGACTGAAGTTAGAAATGTAAGCTAATGAATGCCAACTTAGTAATTTTAAGGTAAAGAATCTTCCACAATAAGTGAAGGTCATAAGTTTGGTTATAAGTAGGGTTGGGGATGTACAGTGTTGAGAAATCTCATACGAAAACGAAACATTTATTTAACTCCTCCTAATTTTCAATGGTTATCTAGTTTCTGTCAGATCACAATGAAAATTATGAAGTATGTTATTCAATTTCTCCCGATGTTATATCTAGTTAATCTGAAGGCAAATTTAATTTAATTTAGACATATATTTGACTTCAACGGATCTAGTTTCAAATATCTTTCTTATTCTTTACATTAGAAAGTAACATGGAAACCAGCCTCAGGTTAGTGGTGAATATACAGCTGTTTTGATGTCAAGATGAATAAATAAAAAGTTTCCAGAAATCAAACTAAGTTAGAACGAAATGTACTCTCTACTGTGATAGAAAATAATAGAACATACTGTTCATAACATATACAGTTATATTTATTGATTTATCGGCATTTAAGGCAGGATTTATAAAGAAAACAATCAGACCATGGGTTCCAACTAAGGTTTCTGAAAATAAACAGCGTTAGATAGACACATTTTTGAGCATTTCCAAATCATAAACATAAAAAACAGAACAGTCATCCAATGCTCATTAATACTTAATGGTTATCCAGCTGATGAGAGTTACTTTGGAGAAATGTTAACTTTGTTAGGAGAACAGAATCCGAACGTTTGATTGCCTTTTATAAGACTATGTAAGAAAACGCTAAGTGGCCCATATATTTTTAACTAATCAGCATTTGTAGAATGAACAAGAACAACTAGACATTTCTTCTTCAAACTCCATAAACTTTTGTTGTTGTTTCTACATATTATTGTTTCAGAACCATTTCTAGCATATATTATATTCTTAGCCCATCCTTGTTCTGATCCGCGTCTAGTCGTGTGAAGTGTCGTATTCAAAGTATACTAGTCAAAGAAGAAAGCAACAAAGCTATTGAATTATAATGTATTGAATAGGAAAGAAATGATATTCTTTAGCAACTTAATAGAAACTTACTAACATAAGGAAATAATTTTAAGGGTACTTTTATGTGTTACATAAGTGAACAATGCTTAAAATTTCCAATTCACTTAACTAGACTAATACTGAATTGTCAATTTCCTTTTTATAAGATTTACAGATAAGAAACATATATTAATAGTCCATTATACAAGTAGATTGAAAGAAATTTCTTTGAGTATAAACAGTACTCAAACAACAACAAAGTAATCATAGTCACTTTAAAATAATGAACACAAAATTAAGATGAAATACCTTAATTCATGAACATTATTTTAATTGGCGTCGACAACGAACTTTTAAGCTTATCGCCTTTAAATTTCAAATTCATTTAAATAAACTTTTTGAAACAGAATTCTTGAGCTCTTTTTGTCTACTTTCTTTCATTTCTCTTCTAGGAAGCAGATCAGATAGCTGTTTTTAGATAACTATCTTCCATACCTAGGTTTCATTAGGAAGAAAGAGGAATCATATTCACTTTTTCAGTTATCGGATACATAGGATCTGTAGTACTGAACGAGTTGAAGAGGAACTTAATTTCCTCAGTAAAACGTTGGCTGAAAGCAGTTATTTAAGTAGTTTTGTGGAGAACATGAAAGAAAGTATGAGTAACTCAAAACTTCTGTTTTTGGAATAAAAAACCTCAAGTTTGTGTGTGATTAAAAAAACTGAACCCAAGGAGGAACAAAATCTCATTTATAATTACTGTTATTCTAAGAACAGAGAATAACACTCATTAAATTTCTTATTACCTGAACAAAGGAAAACTTTTGTATAAACTCATAAAATCTAAGGGAATTAGTAATTTAAAACAAAACTTTGAATATTTCTATCCTTACAAATCACACCCATATATGTATACATGAGAGAAACTCAGTTTCCTCAAGGTTATTCTACAAACTAATCATGTGTGGTAAACATTGAGAAATCGGTCACTTTCATCCCCTACATGGTATATCTTATTTCAAGGTGTGTAATGTTAGCCTAATATTAATTGAATTGAACAGCTTAAACAACTTAGTTAAATTTGAAGAAAGATTTCATTATCGAAAATTTTGTAAAATTGATGGAGTATTTAACTGTTGTTTCGCTCAATTACCACAGGACTTGTCAGTGGTGTACACTCACGAATGTAACTTCAGAAGCACACAAAGACCATCATACAACTTAATCATTGATTCCGAATTTTATGGCTTATATTTTTAAATATCTTGAATTATGATGAACTAGCTATCTCTAGTATTATCTAGTTTTAAAGGATTCTCAGCCAATATTCTATTAGTTATTAATATGGGATGAATAGTTGAATTTTAACTGGTGAAAATATATTGTTCGATTTGAAGTATTCAAAGTACCACTGTTTCTACTTCTATTTGAGTAGAATAATTATTTTTATAGATGTTTTTTCCATTCAGCTTAATCAGTAAGACTATCCAAACGTTAAAAACCTCAAACTCAATTCTGGAAACTGGTATATCAATATCGGTCATGTTCCTAACAGATTTCTTGAATGGAAAGTATGCCTCTCCGTTCAACCTAAAAAGCTTCGAGTCTTTACATAAATCCGATATAGCTATCTCCAAATGAGTCACTATTATCTTAAAGAAATGAATTATATGCTGCCCAAGTAGCAGTCTGTGACTGTTTATATGACGATAGTTTTCATCACAAAGAAATTATTCAATTCCGTAAGTATTTAAGATAGTTTAAACTCAGGAGTCTAGTAATATATAGTTCTCAGTGTGTTTTTTTTCAATTGGTCAGTCAAAATGTATTCAGAGCTACTAAATTCATATTAGGAGTGATTGTCTTATGAATGATTTGTGGCTCACCTATATATGCTAAATATGTCTACTGGGACATTTTAAGCACGAAGAATCAAGTTAATTTCAAAGTCGCCAATCGAATAAGGACATTTCCACAGTACACCTAAAATACAATAAACGACACATTCTAGGCCTACATTTCATTACTTTTTTGCAGGATAATAAATAAGAACTTTTGTCTAAATTTCATCGGATAGTTTCACAGTATTTGGGCGCCGAGTTGATATGAGACATTAAAGAGGAAGAATGTATTTGTAAAATCTCAGCGAATGAATTTGAAGCAAATCCAAAGATTCGCCTGTCAATCTGGTCCTAGCTTTTTCAAGGAAATATTTCAAGGAGATATTTCCTTTAAAAAGCTTGGATCAGATTACAGGCGGAAATTTGGATTTACTTCAAATTCATTCGCTGACATTTTTACAAATACATTCTTCCTCATTGCTTTTTTACCTTCAATTTGTAAATAAACCAATTTATCCAGATATTCCTTACTTACATTTATCACTTCACATCACAAATATATCGATTAGTCAAAATTAACATGTGAGCATTGAGTGCGTAGTGTTGATGTCTCACTTTCTTTCTAAATTTAATTGGTGAATTATAATAGTAAAATAAACCAATTATTTAAGATTTGGCATCAAACAAATCGTATTACACGTGATAACATATGTTAAGAGTGACTACCACTTGTCGTATTGACTATCTCACTATGTACACAACATGCAAATATTAGCGGTTCTCCAGTAGTAATTTATGATTGAAAAACAAACCGTAACCAATTTGTTAGTCAAGTAAAAAGGTATTTATGAGATGATATCTAAATAGAATACCTTCATAGTAGTCGTTTAAAAACAAAATCATAATAACAATAGAAAGTCTACTCTGTTTCTTTTTGAGATTTATTGATTAGATTTTTGTGTGCTACATTTAGATTTTTGACAAAATTGGCATTCAAATATATAAAAATATATACACAATGAGTAGACATTATTGAGACTGATAAACTTCGTGTCTAAATGATTTATGATTCCGAGTTATTTTCACCATGAATTTTATTAATTAAAATAAAATCTTGGTTTTTATATGATTTATAGATTAAGAAGTGTACAATATTTGGAACAGTTTAATGTTTTACTGAATAGTTTAGCATTAGTGATATGAACAGTCATATAATTAGAATTTCAATTGCCTACTGAATAATTGTTTTGTTTTGTTTTCTATCTAAAATAAGTAACTACATTCGGGATAGGCATTACAGATTTGAAGATGCTGGAAAGTTTTTAAGATAGGGAATTTAACATCTGGCTCAGTAAATACCTTTTCTAGTTGACTGTAAAATTTCCACTTTTACGACAATATTAGATTGGCTTCATTTTCTATAAGTTGCTTATCAACTTAGACGGTGAGACCTATTTAGTCATACTGTACTTAATATCGAATTATTAGTCAATGTAAAATAAAACTCTTAAAATCAATGTGATGATTACATGGTTTTAAACCTATTTCATGTGATAAATAAGTTTAAATCTGTTCACTTTTTCTTGACACATGAGTCGAGTTACTTTTGTCTGGACGAGGTTAATCAATATAAATTTCTAATGTAGTTAGTCATTGGGAATCAGACTTCGTAAAAGTTGTTGAGAGTTATCCATGTTCTTTTTTATAATCCATTATATTTATCCTACATAACATGGCTAAGTGGGTACGGGAGCAGAATATACTTGTTTTAACGAAAAAAAATTGTTTCATGTTTGTGGTGATCGGAATATCAAATCGATTGTGTGAAATCATATGAACTATGATTAAGTGACTAGTACTCAGAGAACTTGGGTCATGGACGAAATGCTTTCAAATCAAATGGAACCATAAGACAAATGGTTAGCTAACAGTAAAACATCTCAGCAAAATGACACATATAAATAATTAACACAAAAAATATATAATTTAAAACACAAGTGGTTGTTATACGCAGTATTATTGTGAAAAGCATCAGGATATACCTTATGGAGCAGAATTAGTGATATTTATATGATTTTTAATAATTCATATATTCCATCCATAAACTCAAGTTACATGAGTAGATATTTATGATGTAAGATTTTCGTCGCATTAGGGATAATAGCATGCCATGACCTTTTTCTGTATAGTTCTCATAACAACTTTGAAAGATTTCTTCAACTGTTACTATGCTTTTCTAAATTTTAAGGTTTTTCTTTTTTCACGTTTTAGTAGAATAGTTTAAAAATAAGTAATTAATCTCTCCGCATGGTTACGTAACCACTCATTTTATGAGCAATCGATTCTCACTAGAAGTTATACTTATATTTATCTCGTGGAACCAAACTAAACTCTGCATATACCAGAATAGGCTACCATAATATATAATCAATCACAGAAAAAAGCTTCTGTCAAATTTATTTTTCGAGTACTTGAAGTATTAATTTGCATAAATTTACTGAATCAATCGAAGATAAAGATGAAAAATGAACATTTTTACTAAATTATTTACTTAATAGTGGTAACACTAGATATTTGCTAGGTAGTGTAAATAATGGACTTCGATTCGGAGTATGGATAAAACAAATATAATATTACTTAATAATGAAAGGTCAGTAAGTATGCTAATCTCAGTACTAGGGGAGACCAGTTGTGACTTAAATGACTCAGCATAAGATCTCTGATTACGAAACCAGATGACTTGGATTCTAACCCAGTAGATGGTGTTGAATCACTCAAGATTTCATATACGCTATACGAGTAACAACGAAATGTAGGTCTATACTTCCCTACTGAATACCTTAAACCATCTGATAGTAATGTAAAAATTTTTACTTTAAACAGATAGAAGTTTGAAGTTTGACTAAAAATTCATTCGCAAAATCCATATTTTAAAGACAATTTTCTGATGTCAGGTTAAAATTTCACTTGGATAATTGAATCAAAGAAACACTGTGCTTTATGTATTATAGGTTTAATACTGCCATGAATCCACAACATTATATTAATAGGTGTTTATAGTTTAAAATAACTGTCATTTTAATAGAACAGAAAAAAGTAAAAAACAGAAACTATGATGGAGTTATTATCTGTGTATTTGAACTCTAAATTTGTATAGTGTTCAAATGCTGAGTTGTTATTTAAATTACTTAAATAGTCCGTTTTTTCTCATCATTTTCCGTTTTTATTACTGAAAAGTCACACTTGTATAAGTTTCTTGTTTTGAATACTAGTTGGATTTTAATTAGTTTATTTTGAAATAACAAACAAACAAACGAATTAAGAACATAATTTACAAGTCTTTTCCATCATTTAATTAACCTCATTATCGCAAATCAACATTTTTTTAGTAACAGTAATAGTAATAGTGTTGTGGTGTATGCTACTAATGTCGCTAGACATAAGTAATATCTATCATCAATCGAAAGTGAAATACCTGGCAGTGGAAGATTAATAAAATCAAAGAAAAGAAAACGAGAACAAAAAAATGATTACTGTGGAACTAAAGGAACAGTGAAGTGTGAGACGATTGATTGACATTTTACAAATTATTTATTTACTGTATGGTTCTGGAATTTTACTTAGATGTACTGAAATTTGATGTTCAAATACATT